CCAGTGTGGCTGTGTCTCGGATCCAGCATTGCTAAGGCCACTTGTCTTTGCCTCCTCATCCACGCAGTAACCCACACATTCTTTCATTCAACAACTATGCATTTATTTAGCAACTGACTTATGCTCGGTCCAGGTGCTAGAGATGCAGATAAGACAGATGTGGTACCCTCCTCACCATGAGGATGGCAGGAAGTGAGGGGCAAGAAAGCAAGAGCTACCCAGGGGAAGAACACGACCAAGAACAGGCCATGCCAAGGATGGGCAGGGACTGAGTGATTCTCGGGGAACTGGACAGCCACAACCGTCTTTGTAAAAGCAGCACGGGAGCCGTCTGCCCGCCCCGACAGGAAGGCCCCCTTCCCGGGCAGAGTCTGGGGGCTCTGCAGGCCCCGTGTGCTGTGCGGACTCCTGAGTCACTCTGTGAGGTCTGCTCTGCACCTCAGTGCTCCCAGCACGGGACAAGGCCCTCGTGAGGGAACTGTTCATGCATTAAATTAAACCCTGTTCAAGCCACAGCCCAGTTACACATGTGGCTTGCCCACCACCTCCCCAAGGATCAGTTCAAGAAGAAATAACAGCCAAGTGGCACTCTTTTCCCCCTCTGCCTTATTTGATAGTAATTTCTCAAAAGCTGGCCGTGTACTGTGGGCCCTCCCTGCACTTGTGCCAGCAGCATGCCAGGAGTGGGGAATGTCTTGCCACGTTTGTCTGAACAGCCCCTTGCTATGTGGCAGGTGTCTGAACTCACAGCTACTCATTAAGTAGATCCTGCCATTACCCAGTAAAGGTTTGTACAGGTGTCCAGTGACCTGCTGCGGCCACACAACAAGCAGAGGACAGCGATGAGGTTCGAGGCAGTGTTTGGCCCTGGCCGTAGACTTCAGCCTCTACTCTCGCTGTCAGGCATGTCTTGCTGTCATGCGGCTAGAAGTGGCAGAGGCAGCAAGGAGGCCGCCCAGGCAGAAGACCCGGAGGCCTTTTCAGGGTCAGATGGGCAAGTGTGCTCCGGTGTTCTTTCTGCCCTCTCTCGGCATCTCTTGAGGCAGGTGTGCTGGGGCCACATGAGGCTTTTCGGGCTACCTCAGCACGGATGGGAAGGGCAGGAGGGCCTGATGAGGGGACTCCCAGTGCCATGACACAGCAGGCCACATAGGAGGGTTAGTGACCCGGGAAAGCGGACCAGGCAGAGGTGAGGCCACAAGTCCCAGGTACCCCACCATCAAGGCCCCGCCTCACTGGGCTGACTGTCCACACAGGAAGCCAGGTGAGCCAAATGCATTTGCCACTGTCCACACGGTTCATCCTCATCAACCTTTGTGTCTTGGCTAGGACTTCCCTCTTCTGATTAAATTAGACCACTTCTAAATCGTTTCTAGCTACCTAGATAACTTGTATATTCTAATTCATATAGTGGCGCATTGTGAAATATCTCAGTCATACAAATACAAATGTAGTGGGAAAAAAGTTTCTGCACTACCTCCAGCAGCTCAGTCTAACGTGGCCACTGCTCCCTGAGTTTTGGATGCCCTTCAAGAAATACAGTTGCCCCCTGGTGTCGGGAAGGGTTCGTTCCAGGACCCCCTGCATATTAAAATCCACGGTGCCCAAGTTCCCTGTGTAAAATGCTGTGGTGGTTGGATAGAACCTACACACATCCTATGGTACTCTTTCAGTTATCTCCAGGCTCCATATCTCCCTAATGCTGTGTAAATGACATGTAAATCATTTCCATACTATATTGTTTAGGGAATAATGCCAAGATAAAAAGCCTGTACATGTTCAGGACAAGACACAGCCTTTCTTCCCAAACACTTCTGATCTATAGATTTAACCAAACCTGGGCGTAAAATATCTGGAAAAAATTCCAGGAGTTCCAAAAAGCAAAGCTTGAATTTGAACAAAGCAGTGTGTAAGCATTGTATTAAGTACTGCATACGGGAAGTGTATATCAGAAGGGGCTGGCAGTGAAGGTCAGTGGAACACTTTCCTAGCATTAACAAGACCCTGGGTTCAATCCCCACCATCAAAGACGCCAGGGCGGGAGGAGGGAAGAAGGGAAACAGAGAGGGGAAAGAGAAAATACACACAAGTCTGTGTGGAGGTTGCAGGCACATCCCATGTTATGTAAGGAACATGAACGGCTCGGGCTTCCTACACGGGGTCCTGGAACCAGTCCCCGGTGAGCACTGAGGCAAACTCCTCCCCACCACCACCACCTCTCCCTGCATGATCTGCTCGGGCCTGCAAGCTGCCGCTGTCACCTGACCTGTCTTGGAGGTCTGTGTGGTCTCACCGGCCCCTGTGGAGGCTGCCTGCCTGGTGGCCCTGAGCACTTGACCTGGCCCTGTGAAGCTCCAAGCTGTCTCCAGGCTTTGGTGGCCACAGAGGACACTGAGAAGCTATGGTTTCGTGTCCACACCCGGTCTCTGCATAGGTGGCTGCCGGGCCCATTTCTACAAGTTCAAAAACTCTAGGAACACTTGTACACTTTTAATTACCACATTGCTCTCCAAAGAGAGTGTCTAAACTTTTTTATTAAAAAAAGAAGGCAATTAAGATAAAAGAGGACATAGCAACACAACAGCAAGGTCAGAACAGAACAATTTAAGCAACACAGTGTTTCACCACAAGATAACCCGATATAACAGTAGTTACCATAGTGTGAGAGTGTCTAAATTGAAACCATCACTTACAATTGAACTATCTGGTTATTGGTCTCCTAGGTTAAATAAATAAATACAAGGATTCTCATTGTAGCTTTTACTTAGGGAAGGAAGGGATTATAAAAAGGAATTTTGACAAGAAAAATTCCTGGGGAAGTAACTCTATGTTATCACTTTTAAGTAACAAGAACTGTTAGTAACAATTAACATCATAGTGCTGTTCTATTCCCTTCAGTTGAATACAGTCCCCTCTCTGGACTCTTGGGGGCCCCGTGACCATGCAAGCTGCGTGCTGGACAGATGGTCCACAGTGGAGTGTGGCAGGCAGGGACACAGGGTCTTGTGGAGGAGATCAGAGAGCTGGACAGTAGAGGCCACTTCTGACAACGTCTCAGACTTAAAATCCTTTCACTCTGGCTTGGTAGAGCACGCCTGCAATTCAAGCATTCTGGCAGGCTGAGGCAGGAGGATTCCAAATTTAAGCGTAGGGCCAGGGATTTAGCTCAGTGGTTCAAGTCCTTGCCTGGTAAATGCTAGGTCATGAGTTCAATCGCGGTACCAAAAAACAAACAAACCAACCAAATTAAAGCTCAGCTTAGGCCATTCCAGGACTTAGCAAGACCCTGTCTCAAAATTTAAAAATAAATAAATAGAATAAAAAGGGCTGGGGATGTAGCTCAGTGTAGCAGCCCTTGGTTCAATCCACGGTGTCCCAACGCAAAACAAAGATTGGGAAGAGGAGACAGCTGTACTGTTTCATCTTTCATGTAACTGTCTGCTGCAGCTAGATGGCTTTCATTTACTGGGCCATGGCTGCTCACCCAGGGAATGTTTTCTCTGCCAGATTTCACCGAGGCATGATTTGGGTGATGGCTACACACATCTGTGAACAGAAACCACTGAACTGTATACTTCAGAGGTGATAATAAGGTGCACATCTCAAGAATGCTGTTACAATTTTTAATGTTGAGAGTAAAAGGCAACTTTTTTTCAATAAGTAAGGTGGCAGAATGCACCCAAGATGTCTTCCGGGTTTGAAGTGTGGATCACGCCACGTGAGCTCCTGCTATAGCGGTAGGCACCTCGCCTGGCACAGAGTCCAGACTCTGCACACGGCCCTTACATCCAGCACCTCTCGCCTGACCTGAAGCCACCAAGGAAGAAAAAAATAGCTTACTGTCAAAATTACCCTCAGCCGTTTTTAAAAGGAAAACATCTGTAACTGCTCAGAAAGCACAGAGCACATATTTTTATATTTGAATCTGTACCTTAATGTGTGTGCACAATCATCCCATGTACAATAATGTGCACCATGTAGAATGCTATATACAGTTGCGGTGCTTTTTAATTTTGTGGCCTATTTTCTGACCAGATGTGTGCAGATAAATTTTTGTATGATGGGATCCATGAATGAATGGTATTCATTCACTGAGGCTTGAGCCATTTGTCCCATTTCTTGTTGGACCAAGCCCTGGCAAGTGAGCCCTTTGAGGCACCCGAGGCAGCCCTTGTTGGGGGAAAGCACACATCTCACTCCTGTCAGAAGCCTTCTGGAAGGTGGGCTTGCAGCTGAGCTTTGAGGTGGGTGGTTTTCCCAAATGGGGACAAGGAGAGGGGACAGAGCAGGAGGGACCAGACCAAGAGCACTGCAAACAGGGCAGTGGAGGAGTTTGGAAAGGCAGAACCAGAACGGTGACTATCAGATCCTATTTGGAAAAACATTATTTTAAAATATAAATATGGAAAATGAAGCCAGTTCGAATCTTCCTGGCTTGCCAGCCTACCTTGCCAGCAAGGATTCTTTCGGGACAAGGGAGCCTGAGGTAGGTTTACTCTTGCCATTAGAACAGCCGTGTTTATTCACGGCCACACTGTAAGCCATGTGACAAGTGGAAGGTGGGAAGCAAATCTCTTGACCCTCCTTGCCGTGGGGGTGCCGCTGACATCCTCATAATTCCCCAGGTGTGTTCTGGGAAAATCAAAGAGGAAGTGGCACTTCAAAAATGTCCTCAAGCACTCGGGCTGCTTTGCTATCCTTTGCAAACCATACCCCATTAAAAGCTGTCTGCTGCAAGTGCACCCGGAGGCTGACTTCTTTTTGGTGACACTGCAAGGCCAAGATTGCTTTGTCCCAGGGGGGCCAAGTGGACAGCCCCTCAGAGCAGCCAGGGGCATCATTCTTCTCCAGTGACGCCAGGCAAGGCCATGTCCTTCTCTACAGGGAGCCCAGGAGCCCTCCTGAAGTGCCATCACCTTCTCTGCTTCCTGGGAAGTGTTTTACTCTAAATGTGACCTGAGTGTTTTCTTAACGTGACATTTTCCCCCCATTTTGAACAGGAATCTTTGCTTACATGAACTACAGAGTTCCCCGGACAAGGAAGGAAATTTTCGAGACCCTCATCAAGGGCCTGCAGCGTCTTGAGTACCGAGGCTATGACTCGGCAGGTAGGTGCCGCCGTTGACCTCCTGGTCGAGGGACATCATGTGGGCGTCAGTGGTCTCTTCTCTTGCCCATTTTCTTTATAATGGCACTTTTTACAACTTGGACACTTTCTCTGGTAGTTCTTAACATTTCTTTTCAATATAAAAATAACATTGTTCATTAAAGAAATTTGAAGAGTATAGCAAACTATAGAAAAGAAGAAAAATTTTTAAAAATTTCTGTCAAAAATACCCCACATTGCACTTTCTACTACAGTTCTTGTTCCCTGCCATCGCTAATCAAAAGTTTTGACATTTGAAGTCTGTTTTCAAAGGAGCCACCACTGTCGCAGTGCTTCACAGTCAGCCAAGAAATGTACGCTCAGATCCTCGGGCCGGGCTGCCACACCCGCCATGCGTGACTAGCGGTGGTGTTGGTGAACCTGTGGCACAGTCGCCCAGCTTCGCCCCCGCAGTCAAGCAGCACAGAACTGCACACACAGGGGCCGTGCACGGCGACAGGGCGGGCGACGGGCGCAGCTGACTGAGAGCTGCTCTCAGCCTAAGGAAGCGCGAGCCTCTGTCCGACAAGAGGTCAGCACAGACAGCAGCCAAACAGATGTTTACCTTCCAGTAAAGAGCTGTTTGTATGTTGAAAGCTCTGTTACCGTGATTTTCTAAGACAAAGGATGTTAATGGGCACATTGTTTTTTTCTAAACTAAATCCTCAGTATTCCGTTTAACTGCAGTGCTGGCCATTGGGATAAATAGTGGGCTTTGGGGTGCAGTTTAGGTGTTCATCTCTAAAAGGTTCCCATCACTGGGTTGTAGTTTCAATCCAGGGGATTCCTCCTGCCGTACTTTTTGCGTGATAGTGTTCTGTCTGCTGTCCACTCTTGTAGCATGCCTTCAGCCTTTTATCTGACTTGCTTTCTGTTAAGAACTGTTAGGGATATGAAATCACTTAGCTCTCCATTTCTCTTCAAGCTGTTTAATTAAAAATGGGAAACAGACCAAATACCCACCTATTGGTAGGTGTCAGGGGGAGAATCTGATACAGCCATCCGCAGGAGGAATGTGTGGCCAGTTACAAAGGTGTTACTTAGGAAGAGCTTAGGAAAATAGATGAATGAAAATATGTCTAAAAGAACAGGGGCTGGGGATCTAACTCAGTGGGAGGACATGTGAGGCATGTGAGAGGGCCAGGGCTCATCCCAGGATGGGGGTGCATCAGTCCCACTGTGCCTGCCCAGAAGGCACTGACCATGGCCTGTGTGATCGTCCCTCTGTCTGTGGGGAGCCCCATCTATAAAATGATGCAGTACTTGCATAAAACCCATCCACACCTCCTGTGTACTTTAAATTATCTCTCAATTTCTTAAACTCTAGGGTCCTTACAAGACCTAAATACAGTGGAAATGCTATTTAAGTAGTTGCTATGGTGTATTATTTAAGGAATAATAACAGGAAGAAAGTCTGAGTATGTTTGGTACGGGGCAGCGTTATTTATGTGTGTGGGACTATTTCTGATCAATGGTTGGACGGAGTGTGGATTCCAGTGACTGCTGTGGTTCCAATTTTGTGGTGTTCTAGAAAAAATGAGTCTTCTGTGATGGAAATGTGAAGAGAGGTTTCTGTCTGGGGCGGGGAATTGAGTGGAAAGACTGAAGGGGTCTTTCTGGATGGTGGAATTGTCCTGTGTCTTGTTAGGAGTGTGCATCACACCAGAGGACATATTAATGAAGTTCACTGATGTGTGTTTTCTGCTGTGTGAATTATTCATCAATAAAAGATTTAAAATGTCAAAAAATGAATGTTTAAACGACAGGTGTGGCTATCGATGGGAACAATCATGAAGTCAAAGAAAGACACATCCAGCTAGTCAAGAAAAAAGGCAAAGTGAAGGCTTTGGATGAAGAACTTTACAGTAAGTGGGAAATGCTTCTCCTTGGCACAATCAGTGCAGAATTGGCTTCTTAAAAGCATTTTCCCCCAACAACATTCACCACTAAAAACAGGAGCTTTACGAGAGAGAGCTCGGATGAATAGCAAGGGGTTAAAGCCATGCTGTAAAACTGTTTCACCGACTGAAGGGTGGTTTATCTTAGGTGGAGAGCTTTCTTAAAATTTTAATTATTATGTATTTGTTTTAATTTTTCTGGAAAATAATACTGCTTTCCTTTGACTCCTTTTTTGTCCCTGTGTGTGCCTGCCGCACTCTCTCCCCCGAGCTGCGTGTCAGCCTCGATTTCTTTTACAGGCAGTTTACTGTGACTAAGCAATGAGCTGGGTGGCTGACGGAGCTCAGTGAACTTTGGCTCAGGGGTGGCACGGCACCCCAGGGGTACACCTGTGGGTGAAGAAAAAGTGCTGCTGGTGGAGCTGATGTGCCTTGATGTCATGAAATAATTTTTATCTTAAGAGTTGTGCCTTTGTGTTTATTTTAAAGGGTGACAAACTGATTTGTCTCTCATTTAGAACAAGACAGTATGGACTTAAAGGTGGAGTTTGAGACGCACTTTGGCATTGCCCACACGCGCTGGGCCACACACGGAGTCCCCAGTGCTGTCAACAGCCACCCACAGCGCTCAGACAAGGGCAACGGTACGTAGTCCCCTGCACCTGTCACTTCGGACTGTGCCTCGCCTGGACTGTGTGTCGGTGATGCCCTGAGCCAGAGTGGGCTCCTGCCTGCCTCTTCTACCCACCCTGTCCTCCCAAGATAATCCAGGCAACCCTTCTCCGAAAGCCCTGACACTGGCCCTGTGCCTTGGTCAGGTGCAAACTTAGCCTGGCTCTGGGGTGCCAGAGTTGTCCTCCTCGTGCCCACAGGAACATGAGGAGTCCTTCCCAGGAGGGCCACTGGGCCTTCGGAACCCAGCCCATGAAGGGAATATGGCTGTGTATTGGTCCATTGCCCAGTACTATATGGTACACCCAGCCCTGGGTACTGTATGTAGAGAAAGGAGAGGCTTGTTTAACGTGTAGCGCGTGGCCAGGTGAGCCCATCTGTGTACCCTGTGGTCAGGCCCTTGGCTTCATCACAGCAAGGCCAGGCATACAGGGTGGCCTTGTCTCATGACCCACTCTCACCAGAACTAACAGGGGCTCTGAGAACCGTGTCTGTTTCTGCTGAGAGCTCCAAAGAACTCTCCCTTGCGAAGTCCCCTCTACCTCTCACAGTACCACACTGGAGTCTGGTGCTCTGACCCCAGAGGCTTCTTAGAAGCTGTGTCCAAGCACACAGGTGGTGGGACAGGTTGGACAGCCTGGGCGCTGCTCCTCCCCCCTGAGAGCCCAAAGTGTTCCAGAGGGCCGGGACCTGAAGGGAAGGTGTGTACTGTCCTCATCCCTTAAGCTGACCATTTCCCTGCAAGAGTGGCTCTGAGCAGTGGCAGATGGCATTGCTGGTGGTGTCAGCGTCCAGGTTGCCTGTTCTGATGCTGGACCCTGGTAGCACTAAGGTTCAGAAAAACAGAGGCTGCTACACCTGCCAGCCCCAGAGCTCTTCCCAGCAGGAGCACCTTCAACTCAGCTGGCTTTGTGTGTTGAAAAATTGAGAATTATTATACGTGCAAGTCCAGTACTGATTGAAGTAAACCTAGGTCAAGGAGCAGCGATAGGACACTGCTCACGAAAGTCTTCGGTGGATTTGGGCTCCTCAGCGCTCCCAGCTTCCCCTCATGTGAGCCCCAGCTCACAGATTCACTTGCCTGTTTTTCCACGCTGAGGCCCTCTTAAATGACACTCTGTCTGGCCCCTTCTGTGGAGAAGAGATGAGCAGACCTGGAGCCGCCAGGGGTAGCTTTATGGGCCTTCTGGCCAGGCCAGTAAGGCCTCCTGCAGCTTGGACACAGCGAGGTGTGAACTGGAAAGAAGGTTTCATTCCTGATTCCTACAAGGCAGACGAAAGAATGCGAGGAGCCCTGGGCCTCCTCGTTGGTTCCCACTCAGAATCAAGGCTGGCCAGGTCGGAAGCCCTGGTGACCATTTGCAGGTGTGATGGGGAGAGCATCCACTAGAAGCACAATTATGGGAGTTAGCCAGGTCCCTTGTCTTGAGACAACTGGGTAGTGCAAGCCCTTGCATTGCTTCCCATTCAAGCAAGGATCAAAGTATCAGAATAGTTAATTGTGGGGGCTCCTCAGCAGGCACTTAACTCACTGTGGTTCCTTTTGAGGGGATGCTGGGCGGAGAGCACAGCCCCCTTTTGGCGTCCCTCACCCACTGTGGAACAGGTACTCAGGGCAGTACTGTGCAGCACCAGGCAGAAAGGCCAAGTACCCCATCCTGACAAGCTTCGGGTGGTGCTGGTGCGGCTTCTCACCAGAGCACTTCGGAGGGTTTGATAGCCTAACTCGGGAAGGAAGGTGCCCTCCCAAGAACAGAAGGCAAGCAGAGCAGCAGGAGGTGGCGGGAGGCCTGGGTCACCCGTGTGTCTACAAGGTCAGGGTCTGGTGGGTGAGGGTTTTGCCCAGGGCTCCACCCTGGACTTGGCCATGAACCGTGGGGCATCCCACAGCTGAGCAAGGCACCGTCACCAGGATAAGGACGGCAGACCCTGTAGTGCTGAGGACGACCAAACCCAAGTCATGCAGAAGCTGGAGCTCCCGGCAGCTGCAGCGTTGGCGGAGCAAACACTGCCCAGGCCTGGTGCCCTGTTCGGTCGCAGCTGCAGCCCCAGCCTCCCGCCTCCACCCTGGCTTACGACGAGCCTCATTAGGGACCCACACCACCACCTCCAGTGCAGACGGTGACTCTTACATGGCCACAAAGCAAAGAGCCTCCAGGGAGTCCCCATGCGAGCGAGCAAACATGAGCTGCAACTCTGACTCAGGATGAGTAACTGAAAAGAAGACAGGGAAGGCAGGGGCAGAGATCCGAAACTTTTCTTCAGAACTCACCAGCAATAGCAAAAAGCACAGACTGTGTAAAAGACATTTTGTCAGGGCTGAGAATCTGGCTCAGTGAGATGAAGCTGTCTATATAGTCCCACAATGGAAAAATAAAGTTTTTGCCAAGAAAGTATGTATAGGGAATAAATAAGTCTAAGATGACAGAAAATGCAACAGTTAAGAAAATAATGCAAAGAAGTAATGATAGACACAATAAAAACACCAAAACCTGGAGGATGCGGTGGATACTGCCATTTAAGAGATCCAAACTATGGTAACTGGCACTCCCAAGACCAAGTGAAATAGCACATAAAAAATAAAATAAATAAAATTGTAAATCCAGGCATGGTGGCTCACGCCTGTAGTCCCAGGACTAAGGAGGCTGAGGCAGGAAGATCGTTGTGAGTTCGAGACCAGCCTAGGCTACAAAGGGAGCTCAAGGCCAGCTTGAACTGCATAGAGAGCCCCTGTCTCAAAAAAAAAGACAAAATTGTAGCAGAGCTGAAGCTGCAGTTCTCTCTCTCTTTTATAGTTTAAATTTATTTTTTGACTTAGACATTTAAAATTGTACATTTTTACAGCATGCCATGTGATAGCTCAACACATGTATACACTGAGCAATGTTCCAGAAAGGGCTCATCTTAGTGAAGCCCTCTCATTTTTTGAGTGACCACACCAAACAAACAATAGATTTTCTTTAAAAAAAAAAAAAACAGGAAGTTATGGTGAGACCAACATAAAGAAAAGACCAACAGAAAAAGATTTTAAATGTGTCGTAGAAAAATATGTGTCGTTAGCAGAAAAAACTTTGAATTGAAGATGCAGCACAGAGGACCCTCAAACACTGGAAAGTGTCTGTGGAGAGCACTGATGCCTAGACGCATCCCGGATGATTACCAGACCCCAAGGGAATGATATATCCACCACTGAGGATGACAGGAAAGGAGCTTGCTTCCTCCGCAACTCTCTGGCTGGCCTAGACCTTTCCTGTAGTTATTCGTCAGCTACTCGCTAAGACAGCACAGTGATGAGGAGGCAGGACCTCCCCACACACACCTCCCAGGTCTCTGGAGGCCCCACCTGTGCAGGGGGCAGCCCACAGCCAGGGGTGCAACTGATGCCCAGGGAGATGGCAAAGGCTGCTGCAGAGGAAGGGAGGGGAGCTCAGGGATGCCACAGCTTTGGAGATTCCCCCCTTAAGAAGTTTGAAGTGAAAACTCAAAAAATGTTAAAGTCAAATGTTTTTATAATACAATGTGAATCAGATAAAGCACAGCTGCAAACTTAGTCTGTGACCTCTTTGGGCCTCTTTGAGCAGGATTCTTCCTGCTGGAAATGACTGGAGGGGTTAATCATCCTGTACTAGACATGATTTGATAATTTGATAAGCTAGGCACCTTCAGCAGGGTCTGGCTGGCGGATGCTTGTCACCTGAAGACAAACGTGTTCCTCATCGCAGACATCAGTCCTGCTCAATAGAAGTCTTTGTAAGATTCCGGTTCACAGAGTGCTTGCAAGCCAACAAATTGTTTTCTTTTGCATCTGACTTGAACTTCATTTCTTACTAGCATTGTTGTCTTCACTAAACTTTTCTTTCAGAATTTGTTGTCATCCATAATGGGATCATCACAAATTACAAAGACCTGAGGAAATTTCTGGTAAGATACTTCCCCGGGGGAATGTCTAAATCAATTGGTATTGATCTTCCCCCAGAAACTTTCCAAACCAAGCCAAATGCAGGAACTAAGCAAGACTCACTGTCCACCACAGCACACAATGAGCACAAACCTCAGCCTCTGCTGAACCTCCAAGCTCAGATCTTGTTTAGGGAGATCCCAGGGTATTAGCATTTGTCGCAAGAGCAACCACAGAGTCATAGACTCAAACTAACATGAATTTGGTGTTGGTAAAGTGTCTGCACGACTCATCTACCAGCTGGGATGTGGAGTGAAAGTCAGATGGTGGGAGCCCACAGCCCACACAAAGGTTGTGTCGTGTTGGTTGGGATTGGTACGTTTGACTCAACATATTTTATCACTTTGACTCCTGTTATTTTGCAATATCCAGATTAATGGCAAGGGCAAGCTTCCGACGAAGAATGATCTCAGGAAGTTCTGAGATGACTCAGAAGCATTTGGCTGTGTGATTCTGGCAAACGCTTTTTGTCCCTTCCCACTTTTGCTTGTTCTTGCCTCGAGTCAAATCATAAGGGACTAAAAGGGTGAGCCAAGCCAGCATTGTGCAATGACCATCATCGGTCCCCTATGTCCAACCTCATGTTCCAGGAAAGCAAAGGCTACGAGTTTGAGTCAGAAACAGACACAGAAGCGATCGCCAAGCTGATTAAATACGTGTTTGACAACAGGGAAATCGAGGACATTACATTTTCAACGCTGGTCGAGCGAGTTATCCAGCAGTTGGTGAGTTACAGGCCCCATCTTTCTAAATCATTCTTTTATTCCTTTATTTTCCCTAGTCATTTATCAGGCAAACTTGCACAAAGATCTAAGGATGAAAGACAGCCCATCCAAAATGCCTGCGTTGCAGGGAGAGGTACATCCTGTGGAACAGAGAGCTCTGTGCGTGGGCAGTAACATCCAACAGAAAGTGGCTTGCAGGGAGACCAGGAAGGGAAGCTGAGTTGTCTGATTATGGGAGTGCAAAGATATGATTCAGGGGCAGGAGAGGACTGCAACCCCACAAACTGATTGTGTTTTCCTGACAGTGTGTGTAGTAGATAGCAGAGTATATCTCTATGCTGAAGGGAATGACTTGGGAGAGACAGCAAGAGAAATTGTGAGTGTCCTGCAGGACTAGACCCAGGGCGCAAAGTCCCCACACACTGTCCAAGACGAGGGTTCTCCCAGAAGGAGAAAGCAGTTTTAGCTGCATGCATCCCCCCAGATGGTCCCAGAGGTGGTCATCACTGCCAGGGGTCCCCATGGGTCTGGGCAAACACTTGAGGTTTATGTCACCCGTCATGAAATCTGCAAGTTCTGGTCTCTGGTATTGCAGTATAGTACTGTTTTGCCTTCTCTCCTGCCCTTGCCCTGCACAAGCTGCTTCTTCAGTCAGTTCCCCGAGTGACCCCAAGACTGCCTGCTAGGAAGAAGGGCCAGGAGACTGCCTGGGCAGCAGGCCACGGCAGCTGCTCTGTGCGAGCCTAGTGGCCCTTCACCCTCTCCTCCTGTGCTTCCAGGAAGGAGCATTTGCATTGGTTTTCAAGAGCATCCATTACCCAGGAGAAGCTGTAGCCACGAGGTGAGGCAAATTCATTGACCTCTTCATGATAAATAAGTGAGTAAGATGAAATCACCTGGTAGTGCGGGATGACAGTAGGACCTCTGGCTGACTGGGTCTGAGGCACAGCTCTGGCTGTACCCCAGAGACTGCACCCCACCGTCTGTGTCACCAGTGGCACTACAGTGCTTGGTGTTCTCTCTCTCTTTCTCTCTCTCTCTCTCTTTCTTCCTTCCTTCTTTCCTTTTTAAGGACAATCAGAAAGTTTGATTTTTATGTGAGATCTCCAGATTTTTATAATTTGACAATAAATTCAAATTAAAAATGAAAATGTGCAGTGGTGCCAGTCCCAGGTTTTGTGGAGCTTGAAACTCATCCAGTTTCAGAGACATCCCTTTATGTAAAAAGCAAGCAAAATTATGAACATAGGACTGGGAACCAAAGTGCCCATTCAGTACTGGAAAGTCTCTGAAAGTCTCTACAGGATGGAGACCAGGATAGAGAGATGGGGCCTAGCTTTTGAATACTCTTACAGTATCTGCAGGAAATGATATGAATTTATCATGATTTATTTTTTATAGAACTAGAACTAATTTAACATTTAGATTTAATTCCACTTTCATCACAGAAGTATAAAATACCCATTGGCTGCTATTAAATTTAGAGGGCCCTTTAAAATATGATAATATTTGCTATTACTATTTAAAATGACTGGAGAAGAAGACAGCATGAAGAAGCAATAAAGCTCTATCTTTCTAAATTGCCTGTAACTGCTGGCTCTGTAACCTCCACGGCAATCTTTTGGATATCTTGGGAGAATTATCTGTCTCAGAGTCCCAAGAAACCACAGAGTTCAATCTACAACAATAAGATTTGGGGATGCCATTTGCCAAGAAAATTTGATAACGACCCTTCCTTGCTGGCATTGTCAAGAAGGCAGTTCAGCTTGTTCCTTCTGGACCCAGAGTTATGTCGCTGATCCGCTTGAGACACAAAAAAGACTGCCTGAAATACTCAAGGTGCTCCCAGCACCTTTGTCAGTGCTACAAACTTTCTACCACACTGTGAGGAGTCAAAAAAAAAGGCTTTACACAGATCAGTGCTGCTGGAAACCAAGGCCTCTGAGACCTGAACAAATACTAAAGGTCTACATTAAGTCAGGTTAGCAGACCAGATCCATGTATGAAGGCTGGCTTCAGGTGAATGAACAAGTTCATCATTAGTTTATTGATTGTATTTGTAAGAAACTGCCTGAGGTAAAATATTACCCCTTTATACTAAATTAATGGGCCTGACACAGCTCTCATGCCGGCCTGTGGGTCCCTGCTCTGAGCCTTGGGACATGGCCCTGCAGGCGGGGTGCCCATCCAGCGGGACCTAAACACAGTTTTATGTTCCAGGAACAGCACTGGACCAGGGATTCCACCTTGGGTGCTAGGAAGACACAGCCCACGGTGTTCACAGCACAGCTAATGATGCTTTCTTCCTCTGCAGGAGAGGCAGCCCACTGCTCATCGGGGTGCGGAGCAAATACAAACTCTCCACAGAGCAGATCCCCATCTTATACAGAACGTGTGAGTGCTCCCAGGAAGACCTGCACAGTGAGGACTGTGTCTCAGGACGTGACAGCTCCCCGTGTCTGAGGCAGGCACATCCCTCTGACTGGCACTCACTTGGCCCGGGCCCCAGATCGAAAAGATGTTTATGCAGATTCAGCTCCATCTTTTTAAAAGCTTTTCATTGTGGGTATTTTCAAAGACACACAGAAATAGAACAGGACACGACTTGGCATGACAGCAGCAGTCCCCTGATCGGAGTGTTTCTTTGGTTTGTTTTTGCTTGCACCACTCTCCCACTGTAGCGTTTAAATGCTCTTGCAGCGGCACTGTGCTATTTGGGTAGCTTTTACATGATTTGGCTGACACAGCCAAAGCTAAAAATTGCAAATTTCTCCCACACATAGTCAAAAGGGAATTGAGTTTCTTGCCACATGTTATGCAAATGAAGTAGTCTCCTGGGGTCTGCAATCAATTCCTTTATTTACTAGGCAATATTGAGAATGTAAAGAATATCTGTAAAACGAGGATGAAGAGACTGGACAGCTCCACCTGCCTTCACGCGGTGGGCAACAAAGCCGTGGAATTCTTCTTTGCTTCTGACGCAAGGTAACAAAACCTCTCCACCTTTCTTTCCTAGGATTATGTAACCAACACATGACTAACACGACCCCCAGCCCCTCGGACAGGCGCCATAGGCAAGCCCTCTATCCCTGAGCTGCAGCCCTGGCCCGGCCACCTCTTACCTATTTCTCCATTTGAGCTGTTTTCCCGCACCTCGGCAAGGGCTGAGGCCAAGCCAGATTTCAGCCCTTGGCAGCGCTCCCGGGAACCCTCACGTGGCCTGCACCGCGTTTCTGTCATGGGTTGCTCAGGTGGCCACAATCCAGATCTACTGATCTACTGTTTGGGGCCTGCATGAGTAACTGAATGAGTTGTCACTATTTTGGCTTTTAGAGATGTAAGCTAAAGTGTCTACAGAAGAAATTCATCATATTTCTATACATTCTTTAATGAGTTAGGATGTCAAGTAACCCAGACAGCCTTCAGAATAACTGAGGAAAAAGGTATTGTGCACAGGACGGGGAAGATTCATTGTAAATTGATCTTTACAATGTGATGTTACTGTCACTAGTAACTGATGCTGACCCCATTCTTGGGAAACAGTAAATGATTTGTAACTCTTCAGAGCAAGGCAAATACGATGCCTGTGTTTCTGCCCTTTCAGTGCCATTATAGAACACACCAACAGAGTCATCTTCCTGGAGGATGACGACATCGCTGCAGTGGCTGATGGGAAACTCTCCATTCACCGAGTCAAACGCTCAGCTAGTGATGACCCATCTCGAGCCATCCAGACCTTGCAAATGGAATTGCAGCAAATCATGAAAGGTAGGTGACCTCTGAGAGTCTGGGCAAGTCCTGGGAAGCAGATGTTCTGTGGAGGAGCACCTGACACTGTTGCCTCCCACCCATCATGGCCACAGGCTGGGCTGCTGGTGGCTTGTGATTTGCATAACTGAGGAACTATGGAGAGTCTGACCTGTACTTCCAAGCAGAGTCTTCTTGATGTGACCCCAGTTCTTCATTTGACTCCCTGTGATGCTTCCCTAATCCCAGTCATTTCTTCTTTGGGGAGAAGGTCTGCAGTAGTGGAGCTGAGGACTGTGGATCACTTCCCTGTGAACAGAGCCCATCCCCTGCGCCCACCCTCATCCCCCACAACCCCTCCCTCTGTGAGGTAGCCTGAATCAGAAAAGTTTTAAGAACATGAATCATCTCTCTGCTTAAAGCCACCCAGTGGCTCCTCCACTATCCTCAGAACAGGACTCAGACTCCTGCTGTAGCACACAGCCCTGCCTGCCAGGCCAAAGCTCCGCCCCGCCCACTTAGCCCTCTCCTCACCATACCTTTGCCTGCCAGGCCTGCCTGTTTACTGGCCCAGCTGGAAGTCCTTGCAGTTACTGTTACAGTCATATAGCAGCATGACTTTCAGATCATCAGAGCTCCCCTGACACATAGCCCTCAGGGAGACCTCTGATCCTCTAAGCACCAAGGCCCCTCCTGACCCCTGCTGACAAAGGCCTCTTCCTTCACCTCCTCACATCATATACAGCTCTGTCCTAGGCAGCAGATGGGGAAAAAAGTGCCCACCAGGTCTTTGGAAACCTCCAGATCATTCATGCAGTGCCTAAGGCAGGGTTAAGCCCTGCAGCCATTCTGTCTCTTTAATGACCATCCAGTCCCATTCAGATAGCCTGGAAATGCTCAGGTGACTGGAGAAGGTTTATCTCTATGGTAGAAGCTAGGAGGGTAGTTACTAAGTAGACATTGCCAGGGCTGGGAGCATATGTCAATGGCAGAGCACAGGTCCACATGTCCAGGGTTTTGAGTTCAACCTCCAGTGGGGTGAGAGTGGGGGGAGGCTCCAAGCCTTGTAAAGGGAGCATGGACCAAGAGAACCAGGCCACGTTTGTCCCTTGCAGCCTCATGTTAAGTCACTCCCTTTCTCGAGTTGCAGGGCCTCAGGTGCACGGTGGAGATGGTCCTTGTACCCAAACTGCTTCCTTCTGACTGTCCCAAGGAGCATTACCTGGGGAGGTGGCTTTACAGATGTCACTAACACTATTGCTTAATGATTTTTTCTTCCTGGTTAGAAGTTAAGCAGTGGACATGAAACTAAATGGAAACCAACACCACACGTTGATGTTTGTTTGACCAGGTAACTTCAGTGCATTTATGCAGAAAGAGATCTTCGAACAGCCAGAATCCGTCTTCAATACCATGAGAGGCCGGGTGAACTTTGAGACCAACACAGGTAATCCCGAAACTCGCGCGGAGCCACTGCTGCGCCCTGCTCAGTAAGCCCAGCCACTGTGTCAGGTCAGCCTTGTCACCAACCCCTGTATCCTGCAGTACTCCTGGGCGGCTTAAAGGACCATTTGAAGGAGATTCGACGGTGCCGCAGGCTCATCGTGATTGGCTGTGGAACCAGCTACCACGCGGCTGTGGCTGTAAGTGCAGCGCATGGGTGGACAGTGCTGGGAGCTTATCGGCCCAGGAGGAGGCGCTCTTCTTGTGCACTGGGCTCCGAATGCAGCACGAGGTCCCGCCCACAGCCATTAGCCACCCCAGGAAGTGGCACGAGCCCTTTTCCTCTGCACGCCCCCTGCCTGGCCAACAAGGTACTGCCGTGTCCAGCAGGGGCCCCTCAAAATAACCCGCCAGCTCTCTTCAGGTCCTTGCTCTTACTGAAGTGAGGCATGAAGTGGGGCTCTTAGTAGAAAATGGGGGAGCTATCACTGACGTGATACAAAGCAGAAACTTAGTGAAAGTATGGCAAATGCAGAGGAAGCAGAAGAAAAGCCATCTTAATAGCAGAGCAGGCTGCAAGATAGGGGGCGTCCCGCTTGGGATGCCTGGTGAGCTTGGGTGTGCTTCATGTTCAGAAGGGTAAGCTGGTTTCTAAGACTAACTGTTGCACTGATTGGTGCAGTCAGGGTCTTGACCTTTGGTTCTGGAAAGGGGACAGGTCAGCTGGAGATTTCTTAAGCAATAAATGTGAGTAGCACTTTCACAGGGAGTCCATCTCTCAAGCATATGGCAGGGCACGTTCCTCAAGCACACAGTACACGGATAAGCATGCAATGACTTTCCAGTGGCAGCCATCCAGGTCTTGCCCCCTGTTTTCTGCCTGTGCCCTCTAATCCATCCTGCAGCGCTGTGTTACAAACCATCCCGGGAAGCTCCACCTCCCTGTGTGCGGTGGGGCCCAAGACTGACTCTCATCTCCTCTCTTTGTCTTCAGACACGACAAGTGCTGGAGGAGCTGACCGAGCTCCCTGTCATGGTTGAACTTGCTAGTGATTTTCTGGACAGGAACACACCTGTATTCAGGGATGACGTTTGCTTTTTCATCAGCCAGTCTGGTAAGGGGTGCACAGCCAGATTTGCACCAGCTCATTTCCTGCTCTCTTCTCTCTGCACCCTACCGCACGCCACCCTCTCTGCTGTATCCAGTGAGTTCTCACTGCCTCTCCATGTGGGTGCACCCCTTACCCCTGTGCAGCAGGGCCTTCAGCCCTTAAAGACATCAGTCGTTAAACCATTGTGGGGAGAGGGGTGTGACAGCTAGAGTTTGGCTAAGAATCCAGGTCCATTGTGCGTGGGGGGGGGTTGTTATTGTTCGGTTTTTGGTGTTTTATTTGGTGCCCTGCCCCATAGTTTCTCCCAGCTCCTGACTTTCCAAGTCAGGTACTCTAAGGACCATAAACATTTGCTGGGTTTAATTTAGTGGCCAAAACAAAATCTCATTCAAAATTCTGCTGGATTAAAATTCACACTGAGGACTCGGCATGGTCCTGTGCCCAAGCCATGCTGCTCATCTCATGCGGTGTCCACACTGCTGGGTGGGGAGACACAGAGGCCATGCTTTGGCTGCGGGCCTTCCCCTGCCGGGTGCCATGTGGATGCTGCATAGAGATGTAACTCTGCTCTGGCTTGGCTGAGCACTGGTCCAGGAGTTCTGTAGCCTCATTTTTGAGTGCTTTTGAGCTTTCAAAAGGTTTTAGTTATGAAGAATTCCAAATTTTTAGAAAGGTAGAGAAATTCACCTAATTCATCAAATAGTCCCAGCAGGTATCAATCCAGCTCATCCATATCAGCCATTACCTGATTAACCTCACCCTTGAAGACCATCCCCGGCACCATGCCCTGTTCTCCAGGAAAATTTCAGAATATATGATAGGAAATAAAAATGTAACCAGGTTATTCTCACATCTGAGAATTTGGCAGTCACACATTTAATACTGCTTCTCTTTTCAATTTTTAATACCATTTCCATTTGGATGATAGGTAAGTAAAATGAGCGCAGGCCAGCCGTCTGGCAGACCACCTGTTAACTAAGGCTGCCATGGTGGCCTCTGATGGACTGTCGCATCAAAGCCAAAATGTACTTCATTAATTGGCAAGAACCACTAGTAAAAGAGCAGAGCTGGAGTGCTGTGTGATACTCAAGCGTGTAACCCTAGTCCCGTGCGAGGCTGAGGCAGAAGGGTCACAAGTTCCGGGACAATTTGGCAACTGAACAAGACTTTGTGTCCAAAAAAACAGAGTCGGGGACAGGCCTTAGGGTCAATCTCCTGTATAGGGGGAGAAAAAGGTTTTATATAAAAATAATACAGTGTCAGGCCCAGACTCTATGCAGGAGAAAAACGTATCAAGTGACTTCAAGGTTCAGGCTGGCGGGAACTAGGTAGCTGGATCCTGTGTCCCGCGGCAGAAGTCAGCAGGGCTGGGTCTGACAAAGGCAGGGCTCTTCCTCTGCTTCCCTGCCCGGCCACCCCTGGTGCTGAGGAAGACCAGCGCCCTTGGGAAGCAGAGGCACCGGGGGCACCAGCCCCGGCCGCACAAAAGCTAGGAAAAGCAGGGCCAGGGCAGTGGCTGTGTAAATGGAGCAGCCTCCAGAGGCCCTGCGGATTCCAGTGGTCTGTCTCTTATTTATTTGGATCGAATTCTTAGACTCACACGGAGTTTGCACCAACAGTCTTAAGTCTATTTATCAGAAATACCATTTGAATCCACCCTGAGAGGCTGCTAAAACAGTTTCCTTTCAAAGATCTGTTTGAGAAACAGTGTTGGAGCTCGCTGGGTTTCAATGCTGAATCTGTGGGACCTCAGCGATCCTGACCTCTAAGGTCTGGGGTTGGGGTGGCGGGTGCAGGGCCTAGACAGAAGCTTCAGCGTCAGCCTGCGTCCTCCAGCGGAGGGGCCAGGGCGGCAGCCCTGGGGCGGGCAGGGCAGTTCGGGGATGCACCTGCCGCTTCCCACCTGCGGGCTGCGAGGGTGGGCAGGGGTTTGGGGGGCGCACACTGACGCGTCTCCCCGCTTGCCCCGCGGGGGTCCAGGCGAGACCGCGGACACGCTCCTGGCGCTGCGCTACTGCAAGGACCGCCGCGCGCTCACCGTGGGCGTTACCAACACCGTGGGCAGCTCCATCTCGCGCGAGACCGACTGCGGTGTCCACATCAACGCGGGCCCCGAGATCGGCGTGGCCAGCACCAAGGTAGAGGCTGAGGTTCGGGTTCGGATTCGGGGCACCTCGCCCTGCTCCTGCCCCCGGGGCCCGGTCCCTCTAGCCAGCCACCCACGGTCTCCGCCCCTCCTCCGCCGCCCGCAGGCCTACACCAGCCAATTCATCTCCCTGGTGATGTTCGGCCTGATGATGTCCGAAGACCGAATTTCACTCCAAGACAGGAGGCGAGAGATCATCCGCGGCCTGAGGGCCTTGCCTGGTGAGTGCCCACCGTGCTGGGCTTTCAGATGCACGCACAGCCGCCCTTGGAGCAGCTGTTTGGCCTCCTGCTCCTAGACACCTGCCCGGCCCGCCTGCCCGCCCGCGACCGAGCCCTTCATCGGCTTCCCAAGCCACTACTAGACCCTCCGCTGTCCATAGCGAGCAGACCTGGGCACACGGCAGAAGTTCCCCAGAAATGGGCAGTCAGCTCGACTCTTAGGGAATCAGACAACAGTGTGTGTTGCCAGTAATAAACTTGAAACTTTGAGTCAAAACTTAAAGTTTTAGAAAATGTTGTCTATCACCATGAGCTTCGCTTCCCAGTATTCTCCGATGAGCTCTTGGTGGTCTCAAAAATGTAATTTCTAAAATGTATTTTAGAGTGAAATGTGTCCACGTTCAGAAGATTTACATCATTTTGTGGGCAATGCATGATGTTATAAAATTTGGCACGTGTTAAAGAACCATTTAAAGTATAAGATAAATATTAATCAGAAAATTTTATTGATATGATTTCAAATTCTGTATTTGTAACTACCACTTAAAGAACTACCCATTTTCAAGGTTGATACAGTATCAAAAAAGAACATTCGAAGTATTTGAAAAAGTTATTTACTCCTTCCCTTTCCAAATGCAAATCATTGGAAGACCAGTTTATATATTTCAACCAAAAAAAAAAATACAACAAATTTAATGTGGCAACAGAGAAGAGTCAACTGCTTTTTACTGAACATTAAAAAGACATTCAAATGTTAAGCAGTGCCACTGTTCTTACCCATTTTCCCAGGAAAATGTTTTGTGCTTTTATTATTTTAAATGAATGAATATTTAAAAATTTCTCAATGCTATCTTCTGATGTGGTAAACAATGAGAGCTATAACCCATGAAAACAAAGGCTCCTAAGGGACCAGCCATACTTTTAAGACTGTAAGGGAACCCTGGAACCAGAAAGTCCAAGGACCTAGTCTGTGCACGTGCTTTGCCTTGAGAGGAAGCCAGAAAGAGAGGCATTCGCCCAAGGCGTCCTCAGAGTCCACTCTCACAGCTGCTGATTGCACCTCAGTTGTTTCAGTTGCCTTTCTAAAAAATGGAGCTAGAAATAAAAGCTCCCTGCCTGCTACGAGCGCTTTAAAAAGTCACACAAATACAAATTCCTTTCCCAACAGACTTCCAGCCAGTAACCCGAGTTATTTCCCATAATCATAGCTTAAAATCCTTCTACACTAATGCAGGAAGCATAGTGTACCAAATAACTGAGTTCCAGAACTTCACGTTCTACCCTACAACTTTCTTTATGAACACTGTTTTGAAATTAGAATGACTGACTCTCCCTCTGCTGTGTGCCTGTCTTAGAGCTGATCAAGGAAGTACTGGCCCTGGAAGAGAAGATCCATGACCTGGCACTGGAGCTGTATACACAGAGATCCCTCCTGGTCATGGGCAGGGGTTATAACTATGCCACGTGTCTAGAAGGAGCCTTGGTGAGCCCCCCTGCCCAGCCCCTATCCCTGCGTCCCACTGCATAGCTGGGCAGACAGAAGAGGCCTGTCTGGAAACCAATGGCAACAAGAGCACAGTACAGTAAGGGAGGGAAGGGCTGGCCGCCCCCTGACTGCACTGACCTCACTTTCAACCAAACTGCTATGGCGACAGAGTGGGTGTCTATCCCCAGGGAAACCCCAGTCTACCAGGAGAAAGGGGCAGGGCACTCTTGAGTGAGGCCCATCTCATTTCATGGGAAGTGTCTGAGAGATCACACCTTATGGAAGAAGCCAAGCCTCAACAGGTTCATTGTCCTGCTCAACATTACACAGAGGACCGGAGTTCACACTGCTGCAGGTAGCCTGTGCAGCAAGATTTTGTGGACCAGAATTGTAAGACAGTATCTCTGTAAAGCTTCGTCATCACCCATCAGACCCAAAGGGAGCTTGAGATCCTGCGAGAATGGAGCTGCTTTTTTAAAATCAGTTACCGGCTTTTCCCTTCGCTGGCGGTCAAGATCCGGTCAAGACCCGTGTCAGCATAAGAGCAAGCTGATGGTGCAGAGCCCAGTGCCAGAACCACACGGCTTCTGCTGGGAGCTGACTCCACTGCTTACCCAGGTGCAAGGGCCTCTCAGAAAGCATTCGGCGGGTATCACAGGTGGTGGTAGCTGGAAGTACAAGCCTGACCTCCATGAGCTCCCGCTTCCACCACCTCTCTCCCGTGTGGAGCCTTTTCCCCTTAGGTCCGCTGGTTCCCAGTGTAGGGTATTATGAGGATAGCAGCGAGCACCCAAAGAAGAGACAGGGCAAGGTATGGGGGAAGGACATGGCGCCTCCATGCCCTCTCTGGACACATTACCCTCCAGGAACCTCCACGTGCCCTTTTATGTTGTCATGGAGACTGCATTACAGAGGCGTGATTGATTTATCATTGGTCATTGATGATCACTTTAACCTTAATCTTGAGATTGGGAGTTAGAGGTAAATGTTCCAGCCTGCTGATTCTGTCTTGATCTGCCTGGAGACCAGCTCAGGAGCTGTCAGCCATCAACCAGTCACTAGTACCCTTCCTTTGAAGAGCTCAAGAATTTTAGGATTGTATGCCAGGAAAGGAGGAAGAAGACAAAGTACATATTTCACAAGATAGTCGCTCCCTGGCCTTTGAACTCAGAGTGTCATGACTGCTAAGTCTGACTGCTGCTAATGAAAGTGAGGAGCTGACACACACTGCTTCTCAAGGGGCATAGGGCAGACAGGGCCTGGGTGGGATATATCGTTGGCCCCCAGTAAGGTAGTTCTGTTGCCAAGCACTAGTGGTTCAGTGTACTGGTGAAAGGTGATGTTAAACTGTGTCTCCAGTTAGTGACTGGAGAAAGCAAGAGGCATTTAGGCTGCTGCTGGCACAAGTCAGTGGCCCCTCTGTGGTCACTGGGAGGCCAGTACTCCAGCGGTCTGCAGCCACCGGGGGGAGGAGCCTCAGTCCTTCCAGTGTTCCCCTGACCCAAATAAATAGCTCTAGGCAGGGCGAGATGTTTTCTTTAATGGTCTCATCTGTGCAATGACATGGCTTTAATGGTAACTGAGTAGAAACGGATCCACCTCATGTACTGCAAACATACATGAGTGACAAAAAGAACAAGAAAAATGGATCTACCTAGACCTAAGAAAAAAATTAGAATAGCCGAGAGCATGCGATTTGGTTTGCTAGGTCAGCTGGAGCAATCCTCTGGAAGTGATGCTGGGTAAAAGTCAAAGGCATGACTGATGGACTGACATACGGGCCGTCTCTGCAGGCACAGTGGTGTGGCTGTACCCAGTGATGGTGAAGAGACTGCAGCTGACTGATTAGGGGGAAGGCGAATGACTGGAGCCAACTTGGTGTCCAGCGTAGGTGGCCATGTATAGAACTGAGAGAGATGAGCTGTGTGCCCTGGACAGCGCAGACGCTGGCCCTGGCCTTGCCACTGCTGCTTTGACGGCGCCATGCACCTACTGGCCTTACAATCCTAGGCTCCAGCCTTCTGGAGTCACCACTCTCCTAGCTTCCCTTGCTCCCTTCTACCTTCCCCAGCCCCTCTGCCCACTGTGATGGTGACACCTTGTGTTTCCCCAGAAAATTAAAGAGATAACCTACATGCACTCAGAAGGCATCCTGGCTGGGGAGCTGAAGCACGGGCCCCTGGCACTGATTGACAAGCAGATGCCAGTCATCATGGTCATCATGAAGGATCCTTGTTTTGCCAAATGCCAGAATGCTCTGCAACAGGTCACGGCCCGGCAGGTGAGGCCTCCACAGATCTGGGGACACCTCTACCTTGCTGTCTTCCACACATGCCCACTTCACCCTCTTGGTGCTCACCACCTGTGGGTTGTGCTGCCAGTGAGCAGGTGTGATTACACACACTCTCCTGTGCTCCTTGTGAGACAGGCATACATTTGGAAAGCAATGCCGGGCTGCACCATACCCTACAGCAGCTCCTCAGTGAGGTCCAGTGACTATGCTGCCCTATCTGCCTTAGAGTCCTGGCCTGGGAACCAGGGGAGGTACTATACCTCTGGTGGAGTATAGTAGGGGTGTCTCCCAATGTCACCTCAGTGCCCTTCTGATGTTAACTAGACAGAGTCAGGTCAGATTTCACAGGGGTGGGCCACCCTTACTTCGGACACTAGCCAGGTGCTTACAAGGATTATGAATCACTCACCCTTTTGACCAATCAAGGGACAGTGCTGGCCCCTGGGGGGCAGCTGATATTCTGAAGAAAGCTTGTAGAAAGAAAAGAGCTTTTATTAAAATAAGCAACTGAGGCGAAAATAGCCAGACTTTTGTCCTAATGGCTATTTCAAAAAATTCAGGTTCATAAAAGAGTGTTTGTGTTTTGTTTATTGGCTTTAGCGGGGATTGAACCAGGGCCTTTGGACTGAGCTACATCCCCAGCCCTTTTCAAAATTTTTTATTTGAGACAGGGTCTCACTAAGTTTCTCAGGCTTTGCTGAAACCTGTGACTTTCCTTCCTCTGAGCGCTGGGGTTCCAGGCATGGAACCACCACACCCTGATTCAAAAGGGAAGGAGGGGAGCCATGGGCAGGAAGGGTGAGATTTACATCTTCAGGGGATATTTTTCTTTCTCTTAGTTAGACATCCCTGTCTAACTACAAGGGACCTTCAGCACCTGGGCCAGTACTTTCATGCTTTATATAAGCACATAATTTTCCTAAGAGGATCGACAAAGCAATTTGAAGACCACCAGGTGTCCCCATTCTAAAGACCTAAAGAAAGATCACTGAATAGGAGCCTAAGGACTATTGTTTTTCTCCTTGTCTTCTTTTCTGGAATAGTCAACTCTAGTAAGTAGTACCTCAGCCATTTAAAGGAGGATTTTGTTTTAGAAGTAATGATGTTCGGGAAGGGCAAAAAACAAAAAATGGCTTTACAAAAGACAACTTTGCAAAGTAAATTAATCTCAAACCTGGTGCCATAAAACAAAATGGTGTGAGCAACGCCACTGTTATGTGGCTGCCACCTGGGGCATCCCCACAATGCCCTCAGCTCTGGTAATTCTCTAGAACAACTCAGAGAACTCAGGAAAGTGTGGTACCTCCTATTACAATTTGATTTAAGGATACCAATCAGGACCAGCCCCAAAAGAATCCATAGCCCTAGGCCCCAAGTCTGAAGGGTCTGGGTCCTCAGTTTGAGTCACCCTCCTGGTGGGGCACCTTGAGATAACCTGAGCTTCTGGCTCCAGTGCCTATGATTGTTTTTTTTGTTTTGTTTTGTTTGTTTGTTTGTTTGGTACCAGGGATTGAACTCACAAACACATACTTGCAAGGCAGGTGTTTATGCCACTGAGCTAAATTCCAGGCCCAGTGCCCCTGACTTAATGGGGATTTGTAAGTAAGTATGACTGATTAGCTCGTTGGCTTTTGATTGAACCGATCTCTAGTTCTCCATTCTGTTTTCAGGGCCCAAAATCCCAATCCTATAATCACATGGTCGACCTTTTGGGCACAACCACCCCCCATCCTGAAAATTGGACCCATCATGAATCATCCCATCAGAATAGACTCATGGTGTCATCCAAAGGGCCCATCAAGAGAGACAAAGGTGCCTCTCTCATTCAGGAAAAGTTCAGAAAATTAATCTCTCTCCCAGAGACAAAATAGCCAAATTCTTTATTATACAACAGCTTCCAATGACACAGGAGGGCGGAGCCCAGGGCTCCATCTGGGGATGGCTCATGAGGTTGCAGGAAGATGAAATACAGTAAGGTGTACGAGCCCGCGGCTGCCGCACCTGTCTTAGCACAGTGATCAGACCACAGCATTTCCCTGCTGCAAACCTCCTGCAGCCTCCCATCCAACCGCGCTGACCCAGCGTTGCCTGCCCCTTCTTCCTGCTCGCTGAGTTCCAGCCTGCCCACCTCTTGTGTCCTACTCATGCCAAGCTCATTGCTGCTCAGAGCCTTTGTGCTGGGTGCTTCCTCGTCCCAGAATGCTCTTCCCACAGGTCAGAGTCAGCTCATCACTGAGGTTTTAAGCCAAAATCACCTTTTTGAGCAGCCTTCCCAGACTTCCAAAAAGCGCCTCAATCACACTGCCTATTTTATTGCCCTGTGGAATTTACCCAAAATTCATTTTCATGTCATGGTTTACTTATGGTTCTGTTTTCCATCACTAGACTATGAGCCCCATCAAGGTTAGGAGGAGGCATTCCAGAGCCACTTGACAAATGGGGTTGAATGATGTGAACAGGTAACAGTCATCTTACCAGGCAGGGACAGGAATGCACCGTGACACATCACATGCTTCATCCCTTACATAAATCAGGAACTGCCCTTCAGCCATAATTCCAACAATTGCACTAATGCTGATCGCAGAAATTGCAATGGTGGAAATGGTTTATCTTTCAGAAATGAGCTATTTTGTGATTGTATTTGTGATTGTACCCTAGGGTCGCCCGATTATACTGTGCTGCAAGGATGACACAGAAAGTTCTAAATTTGCCTATAAAACCATCGAGCTGCCCCACACAGTGGACTGCCTCCAGGGCATCCTGAGCGTGATCCCACTGCAGCTTCTCTCCTTCCACCTGGCTGTGCTCCGAGGATACGATGTAAGTCTAAGCGCTGCTTCTCCATACCAAGGAGGAGAGATACGGCCCTGACACACACTTGTACATAAGCATGAAATAGCGGGTGATGTTTCAGTGCACAGGTGTTATGTGGATTGCCACAGTTCCCTTTTCTCTAAATACTGAGAGTAAGTGATCACTAGAGAAATAATTTCATTGCAAGAAACTATAAAGTAGCTTATATACCCTGAAAACAAGCTAAGAACTACAGAAAGGTGGAGGACCATAATCATTAAATTATAACCCCACCACCCGGAGGCAATGTTAATTAACAAATTGAATATTTTATTTATTTTTTCCTGTTCATGTGAAGTTTTAAAAAACATTTCCCTACATTAAGGATAAAATTTTCTTTTATTATTTTTCACATCATTATGAACTTGTTATATGTAACATTTAATTATTGCATAATATTTTATCAAAATCGTACAACATGATTTTCCTAACAGTTACTCGGCCAGTTTGTTATTAGTTTTTTTCCAATTTTTCATCTTCATAAATAACACCGTGGTGAACATCTCTGTACATGCACCTTAGTCCCACATCTAAGATTTGCCCTTAGTCTAGCTAATGAGACATTCTGAGATTCCTAATATATATTACCAAATTATGGTCTAGAAAAGAACTACTTACAATCTTAGGTACATAAGAACATATAATTCACTGTGTAAAGAAATAAATGTTTAATTACAATTTTATTTGAAATGCTTTCTAAAACATAATAAAACCTACAACAGAACAAATATTTAAATGTGTACATAGCATTCAGAATTGATATTTGCTAACATTTTATTTACCATATTTGTTTCATCTCTTAAATATAAAATAAATAAGACATTGTAGGTAAAGTTGAATCCCATTTTCTCACCTATTCCCAATCATACTTTCTTCTCAACTTCGATCCTAAAAAAATTTTTGTGAAATTGTGTGTATTCTTCAAAAGGAGTTTCTTTCTTTTCCTTTCCTTTTCTTCCAAACTCAGGGCCTCGTGCATGCCAGGCCAGTGCTGTACCACAGAACTAGCAACACTCCGAACCCTGAACAATTTTAACTGCACATCAAGCCAGTTTTTAAATGCATGGGCCATAATCTTTTGATAGTGTTACACAGCATGACACACCAGTGTTTATTGAATGAGCTAAACATACAGTGAAATGAAGCTTTTAGGAGGAATCTGCTTCCAAGGAGTAGGTGTCAAGGTAACTCGTGGTCAGAGGTGACCAGGAACATGTTTCTGAGCATAACGCACCCTGATAATGGCTCTGGACGTGTGGCATGTGGTTTCTGTCAGTGTCCTGAACAGAATCTTCCTTTCTTTCAGGTTGACTTCCCCAGAAACCTGGCCAAGTCTGTCACTGTGGAGTGAGCAGAATCGCCACCTCTTGTCTGCTTCAAGACCTGTCACATGGTAGACGCCACAAGAGAAAAGTGAGCACTCCCCAGTGCCACGTGCTCCCAGTAGAGCTTGACAGCTTCGATGTGCCTTGTACCCAAGTGCTTTTGCTTACAGCAGATACTGTTTCTCTGTGTCCTGAAGTCGCCCGAGGAGAAGGGGTCATTGTTTACATGTGGGGATCAGAGCAGACTTTTCCAATGCTGTGCAATATACAGCTCTTTCAGAGTAACTGTGAACCTTTTTAAACCGACACTAGTTTTAAAAAACAAAAGTATTTATAATGATGATTGTACAGCTTTTAAGTTATTTTTCTAGTGTGTGGCTTTCCGTAGCCATGGTAATGCCCAATCTCTCCATCTCAGCTACCCAGTGCACTGGCACTGGGCTCACTCCTGGTGAGTCCTCATCTCAGACTGAACATGAGGCTTTGACCTTCTGGATTTCTGCCCTTTCCCCCTCTCTGGGCTGCTCCTGGATCCTGGCCTCTGCTGTCAGTGAAGCCCAGTGGTCTCCTCTGCCTCCCATAAGTCCAGTTGAAATTTCAGTTTCCTTCAATACTTTCTTCTATTCTAGGGTCCAAACCCTACCAACTCTCTGACTTAGGTTTAATCAGACAGCAGTTCTTTTTAAGCCCAAGTGACCTGTCGGCTCCTGCTCTCTACCCATTGTAAAATAGCTTGAAATGTCCCATGCAAGAGGGTAATTTTAAGTGGGCTACCCTGGTCTCTATTTAAAAGTGTACACAATCAAAGTACTATGCAATTTTAAGTCAATAAATATAGTATTTACATGTATGTTGTGTATCTGAATTTGGTTAGAACTGATTCTTTTTGTGTACTTTGGATATTGAAGACTTCCAAGGAGCTCACCAGAGTCTGGTGGGAAGAGCCCTGTTTGTTAGTGCCACAATTTGGGTGTACTACAATTTGGATGCTGGCAGGAACCCGACACCTATAGTGGCTTTCCTAGACCTCTACTTTCCAGTCCTCACAAATTAATAAGGGGCTACCTGCTACAGAAATAACTAGACTGTTTCTGTCTTCCTGATCAAACCACAATCAGTGTAACTCCTTAGGAAACTGCTGACAGTCTATCCAGAACATGTTTATCTAGTCAAGGCTTAGAACATGTATTTCAACCTTACACCCAACAGGCAATGATCAGCTTGACTTTTGTGCTAATCACTCATCTCACCTTTCCTTGCACTTCTACCCATGTGTCTCTCCTCAACAATATATACTTGGCCTTCTGTACCCATGAGTTCTGCATGTATGGATTCAACCAACCACAGATGAGAAATATTTGAAAGGACCCCAGAAAATTCCAAAAAGCAAAACTTGAATTACTGCATATCAAGTATGTTGAATCAACATGAATAAAGTTGTATATAGGCACTATATTAGGTATAGTAAGTAATTTAGATATGATTTAAAGTATAAGGGTATATTTGTAATTTATGTGCAAACATTATGTAAGGGACTTGACCGTCTTCCACTGAGTTTGATACCAATGGGGGATCCTGGGTCCAATCCCCTGCAGATACTAAGGATGATTATATCACCTAGTTTTGAAAATGGAGATCTAGTACACATCACCAACATCATGAAATTTAGTTCCAGTTGTCAGGCATTAAAAGGGTAGCCTCCTGCTGCATGAAGGCTACAGAAAGAGGTGGGGGGATGGGTCTCCAGGTCACATCTGACTTCCCCTCCTTGAGGAATAACTCCGGCCCCTTCTGGGGAAGTCTGGGCAAGGTCTCGAGAGGGTCTTCGGAGACCCAGGGCTCAGCAAAGCCAGACACCTGGCAGGCCAGGGCTGCAGAGTGGGTACTGGGCAGGCAACAGAGGTGCGGCAGAGGGAGGGAGGGGGAGCTCTGGCCCTTCTGCTTTTGAGTGCACCATGGTCTGCTTCCACTCTGCTCTAGGGAGAAGCTGAGTGGTTGTGTACGCCCTGGGCACAGCAGCAGGGCCAGCCTTCCTGGGCACAGTCAGCACCGGCCAGGGAGAGTAAAGGACCTTGTCCCCGCTCTCCTGGGCACTCACCTGTTGGTGATGACAGTTATCCTCTTGGGTCATGCACATTGCTGCAGAATGGCTCAGTTGCCCTCCACATATGGGGCAGAGCTGTTACCCAAATGACCTTCCCAGGGATTCCATCACATCTCACAGGTTCAGGTCTCCTCGGCTTATTTTAAGGGGACACACCCTTCCTGAGCAAAGCTGCTTGAGAGGTGCTATGGTTTGAATGTCTTCACCAACCTCATGTTGAAATTTAGTTCCAGTTGTCAGGCTTAATAGAAACTCAATCTAACTGTAGTATGTGGAGCTGGGATCTCTGGAAGGCAACTAAAGTTCAGTGAAGCAACCATAGGAGGGGTCCACATCCAACAGGAGGTCACTTTATAAAAGGAAGCATGACCTACATCAGGGTGTCCTGGTCCTCTCACCACATGATTCTCCGCACTGCTCTGGGATAACAGAGTCCACATCAGCAAGGACTTTGCCAGAGCAACAGACCAATCTTTACCTTCTGACCTTCAGAACCTTGGTTCATTCAGCCATGACAAAATACAATGCCATTAAGTACGTAATGTAAAAATAAACTATTTGTTTGTCTCTGTTTTGGAAGCTGGGAAGCCCAAGACCAAGGAACCTGAAGATTCAGTGCCTGGAAAGGACCACTTCCTGGTTCACCCATGGAAGCCTCCTTTTATGTCCTCACTTGGTAGAAAGATGAGGGATTCCGCTGGGGCCTCTTGTGTAAGCATAAAAATCCCATTTTCGAGGGCTCTACCTTCTGACTTCATCACCCTCTATAGGCTCCACTGCCTTCACATCCAGGGTTAGGGTTTCCACGTGAACTGAGACTTCAGGGACAAACACTGAGACCAGAGGAGGTCAGTTTTCAAAAGCTTACAGGTCTGCAAATGACTTTATTACACTTGATTGTTTACCTACATATAGAATTCTAGGTCAAAAAACTTTCCCCCCCAAAATTTAAAGTATAGTAAGGCTCTATCATCTGTTTCCAGTGTTAGTATTGAGGAATCAAAGGCGCTGTGATGTGTCTTTTAATTTCCTATTTGTTCCCTGTGTTCTAAAGCATCATAATGTGGTGCCTCGGGTCTCTTGTCATTTAGTTAAGAAGCCAGGCCCAAAGCCTGCAGAGCCACCAGTATGCTTTCCATCATAGCCTGCACTCCTGTGTGCAGGCCGCTCCCCCTGGGGGCAGCCTCCCACTCTGTCACTGCTCTTCACCATTGGGGGTGGGCTTCCTCCCAGTCCTCCATCTGCTTTCTTGCCCCATGCCCTGCCTCTCATTAACACCTGACAATTTCAACCCTTGGCTTTCTCTCTTCTTTGTCATTTACTTAAATATAATTCACAATAAGGGTCACAGTCCTGAGTTCTGTCATATAGTCATATAAGCATCACAGTTAAAATCGAGAATAACCATCACAACCCAAAATTGACCTATGGTTTGAGGTAGTTACCACCTCTCCTAAGTTGACCTCTGATAACCGATGATCAAATCCCACCTCTCTTTTGCCAGGCTGTCTCACAAATAGAATCACAGAGGGCAGACTCATGTTTGGCCCTTGTTACTTAGCACACTGTTTCTGACACTTAGGGATGTACACATGCCAGAAGGTAAGAGCCCACTGTATGGATGTGCATGGTGTATCCATTGCTGGATCATGGGCATAAAAGTAAGTTTCTAGTTTTTTTTACTATTTTGAATGAAGATGCTATAACATTCACATTTTTCTCTCTTGGATAAATACCCATGAACAGGCTTGCTGGTGCCATGACTGTCTTATGTGCAATCTTAGCAGAAATTGCCAGACTCTTTGCAAAGCTGCTATAGCACTGTTTCTCACCAGCTGTGCACAAGGGTTCCAAGGGTGCCACGTCATCACCAGCACTTGATACCATTTTTTAGTATAGCCACTCTAGAAAGTGCGCTGTGGTAGCTCATCACAGATTAATATGTAATTCCCAAGATCTTCAAACTGTTTTAGAATCAGTTCCTTCCTTGGGGCACCTGTTGCCATGGTGCCAGGCTAGGTCTCAGTTTCTCTTAAAAAGGGTCTCAGCAATAGCTCCCAGCCATGTCCCTGAATCATGCATGCCCAGCAATTCTTCTGAAGTACACACTTCAGGGCATCACTTAACTCCTTGCTTAACGTACTTCAACAGCTGTCCATTAGCCCCACAGCCAAATTTCCAGCTTGAGTTGCCAGGGGGGCGGGCACAAGTAGGGAGCAGCAAAGTTGCAGCACCAGGGGATCACCAGGTGCAAACTGGGAACTTCCCCAAAAGAAAGAAGCAGCTGCCCTTGGGAATGCTGGCCCCATGCTGCCAGAGCTAACTCTTAAAGCATAAGCCAACCATGGAGCTTTGGGTTTTTACTTTTATTGTTTTAGCTAAGCTTCCTGGTTTTCAAATCTTGTCAACTAAGTAAAAGAAAACAAAAAACTCCAAAGCACTGTTAGGCTAAGTAAGGTTTACCAGTGTGTTGAGGCCAATCCATGCACCAGCAGTTGGCTATGTCAATCCATTTCAAGGCCTCACACCAATCCCCTCACCTCCTCACCAGCAAGTCCACATGACCTGTGGCTCAGAGAACACAGGACTTATGTGTTCTATGACTTATGTCCTTATTTACGAACCTTTGGGCTGAGAGGTCTTTTTGCTTTACTCACAGGCTAAGAACTCTTCTGCAGGCTTCCAGCCTTAGCTGAGGAGTTGCCTGTTAGGCCTCAACTGCTTACACACCAAGCAGTTGTGGGTGTCAGTCACGTGCAGGGTCCCATCTGACAGGGTCTTTTCACTTGCAGACCTCAACCAGGCTTTTTTGTGCTCTTCAAAGGCATGGGCAGCTCCCTCTCCCATCATGTCGCCCCCGCTCCGTGGCCATAAAGGTGCATGATCATTCACAAACCAGTAAAAAGCAGTGTCTCTGGAATGAACAGAAGCAGTATGAAGGTCATCTAGGAGCAGTATGAAGCAGTATGAAGGTCATCTAGTAACTTTTTGTTACTCACATATATGGCATCAGAGTTATAAAACCAAGCTTGCCTAGGACTCAGGTCCCCTTCCTAACCAGAGAGGAGGCACTCATGAATGCTTCTTGGGGAAACCACAGCTCTAATTGCCAGGCTTCTCATCAGTTGCCCCTAATGGCAAATGCTGGTGCTCTACTTCCTCTTGTGCACGTGAGGCAGGCAGCAGGTAAGGCTGGGGTGAGGTGAGGCAAGAGCCTCGTAGTTGGACCATCCGCAGTACAGGCCATTAAGCCCCAGCTAGAATCCTTACTAGGGACAAGCCATACTCGACTTCAGAAAACTCCCTCTGGTGGCCACGGTTGGGGCGGCCAGAGGGAGGTGTCCCGTCTGGATCCCTTCTGTGACCCATCGACTTGGTCAGCCTTAGGTCCTAAGTGCCTGGGCCTCCCGAAACGCAGCTAGCCCCTGACTCCTGCTCCGCCCTGGCCCTTCCAAGATCTCTGGCATCCTGTGATCCACACTGCCAAAGGCACCCTTAGTCACCGACCACCCCCAACATCCCAGGGCCCTGAAGCCCAGCCCCACCCACCCCAGACACAGATCTCCGAGCAGTTTCCAAGGTGTCAGCCCGCGTGCCGCACTTCCAGTTCCACCATCGAAACGCAGATCTGTCCACACCGCAAACCCCGACGTCCTCGACCCTCCAAACCAGGACCTGCGGGAGCCCGACCCGGAGACCTGATACTGCAGCAGACCTCGAAAGCCCAGCGGCCGTCTGCCCCGCGCTCCGCCGTCCCTGACGGGCCCGGGCCAGGGCCTGGTCTCCCTTCTCCCTCGGCCTCCTTCCGCCCCGGCCTCTCCCGGGACACAGCTCCTCGAGATCCAGACCGTAGCCCCAAGGCGGGCTCTAGCCTCGCCGCTAGCGTGCACCTGCGGCCCGAGCGCCGACTCCAGGCCCCCCCACAACTCGTCGGGTTTTCCGTCGCCTCCGCGCGGGGGCGGACTGAGCACGCGCCGCAGGGGCGCTCGCGTCCCCGGGCCCCCGCGTTCACTGCGGACCCGAGCGCCTCAGCCAACCCGCTCGCTTGGCCCTGTGGCCGGGACCGCGCAATTCCCGGGTAGACCCGAACCCACCACCCAGCCCTGCGCAGCCCGGCCGGCCCCGCCCTCCCGCGCCGCCGCCCGCCCCCTGCAGCGATTGGCCTTTCTCGCCCAGCTCTCCGAACGCCGATTGGCCAGCCGGCGGGTCGCTCAGGCTAGCGCCGCGGCGGCTGCGGCTGGGTGAGGAGAGCGGACCGGAAGGGTCGGAGCGCCCCAAGCCCCTTCAGACCCCCGGCGGCGGCGGCCGTGGCGGCGGCGGCGGCAGCAGCAGCGGGCGGGGCGGAGCGTGGCGCCGACCGAGCCCGGGCCGCGGAGCTGGGAGTGGTAGCGCACGGCGCTGCCATCCGCCCGCCGCCTCTTCTGCCCGCGCACGGCGGCAAGAGGCGAGGTGAGCCCGGCGGGCGGGCTGGGCCGGCGGGCGGGCAGGCGGGCGGCCGGAGGGCCGCAGGGGGCGGGCGGCGGGCGGGGGCGCGGACCCAGCCCGGCCGGATGCCGCAGTCGCCCCTCCCGACGCTGTCAGGCTGGGCTGCGGCCCGCGTTCCGGCCTGGCCGCGGGGCCGGGCCCCCTCTCCCTTCCTGCCTCCCTCAGTCCCTCCCTGCGCCCCGCGGTGGGGCGCGCCGCTGCGCTCTGGCCGATGCTCGGGCACCCGGGGCTGGGCCCGCGATCTTGGACGGAGCGCTGACCCTCGCGCTCCCCGGCTTCCCAGCAAAGCGCGGAAGTGCTCGCCGGATTGGGACGGGGTTGTTGACTGTGTGGAACGCCTGGGCAGGGGTCCAGTGTACGTTTATGCCCCGCTGGGTGAGACGCACCCCCTCGGGTGAGCGTAGAACGATGGCCCTCCCACCCGCCTGCTCGCCGACTCAGCGCCTTGTCATTGCACACGCAGTGCCCACCTCCGATATCGCCCCGCGTACCGGGGTGCTGCTGCCTGCCTGCAGCACGCCACACTCGTTTGCCCCAGGACCTTTGCACCCGGCGCGTGCGTTTGGAGGTGCCTCGCGGTTTTCTGCAGGGCCAGCTCCTTGTCCCTACCCCTGGTTAGATGCGACCTTCTCAGTGAGGCCTGTGTGACCACCCTCTTTATTTCCTGAGTCATTCTCATTATCTTGTTTCATTTTCTTCCTGGCTGCATACTCAGATTTGAAACTATTTTCTTTATTTGCCAGTTTATATTTTGTAGCTTATGAAACAGGTAGTTGTCTGACTTGGCCACTGATTTCTCAGTGTTGAGGAAGCGCTCTGTAAGTATTCAGTTCCATGGATGAGTGAAGGAATGTCTCTGCTCTGTGTTGTCTTATCAGTTCATTTCATGACTTCTGATGAACTTGTTGAACTTTTGAGCAGAGGGACACTTGTTCTTATTTTCTGAAACATTTTAATGCCCTTGACCTGTTTGTTTGGTAACTGTCAACAAGCTATGATATAAATCTTACATTTTTATTAACTTAGCTTTCTTTCACATTTTCAGGAGATTTCTGCATTATCTAGGTCATGCTTTCTGCTGGGCCCTGAGGGACAGACACAAAGGAGATAGCAGCAGGGGCCTTCTCCTGGCCTGCCCAGGAGCTCAGCAGAGGCCGCCTGCTGACAGTTCCCTGACAGGTGTAGTGCCTGTTGTAGTGGAAGGGGTCTGCCTTGGACATGTGGGAGAGGTGACAGATGGTGCTGTTGGCTCTTAATAGTGACCAGAAATTTGCTAGGCAGGGACAGGCACAGAAGACAGAAAAGCAAGACTAGGAAAGGAACTTCTCTACTTGTTGAGCTAAGCCTCAGTTCTCGAGCCTGGAGTGTTGGGGGCCCAGGAACCAGAGTCCCTCACTCAGCAATTTTCTCAGCTCTAAAAGAGCTGAGAAACTCCAAATTTGTACTCACCCAGTTTTTAAATGTTGGTAATAACTAATTAAGGTGTTCTTTACAATACCTTACACTTGGCCAAATGCAGAGCTCCCTCAGCTTGGTTGCAGGATTATCAGCCTCAGGAGAGGCTGTGTGGGAGGGAAAAGTTGTAAGGCACTAGAAAAGTAGCCTGAGGCCAGGGCAGCTGAGCCCTGTTTGCCCAGTTGCCAGCCCAGGTACTTATTTGATTGTCACTAGGGCCCTGAGAGTAGTGACTTGAAACCTGTTTAACAGAGGAGGAAACTGAGGCACACAATATCTCATCGGTCTGCTCATAGCAAGTAGAACTGGAACTCAGATCTCCCTAGGTTAACGTTCTTTCTAGGTTCTTGGCTCTGAAAATTGTTTTTGGCTTTTCATTTGTTGTGGAAGAACAACAACCAATATGGTATTTAACATTTTTTTTTCCTTAAAAATCCTGCAGGGTTAAAAATAATCCTTTTCTGACATAGTCTTTCAAGAGCTTTGATGATTTAATTCATGGGATGCCAAGACTTTATAATAATTTGTTAATAGATTTAAAGTGTTTTTACTTGGTCCCCTAAATAAATATTTGAAGGTGTACTTGAATTTGTCTATTTAAAATAAAAGTCCTCTTAATTATCAAAGTGCTAGACAACTCAATTAATATCCAGTTGTTTTCACAATATATAAAATAAAACAAACCTAACTTTTTCTTAAGGATATTTATTTAGCACTAGAGCGACTATTTTCATCTTTTACATTTGATTAGGAAAGTGCCAATTTTCCTAATTTTCCTTAAGAATTAATACTTTAGCCTTTTGTGATTGTGTGAATTAGTTTCAGCATCAAACTGTTATTATAATTGTCTACTGTGGGGGCCTTTGAATATACACAAAAACAAGCAGAATTGTATGCAGCTTCAACAGTTGTTAACCCCCGGCAGTCTTGTTTCCCCCCTGACTTAATTTACGTGCACCAGAGCACATTAAAAGCCCTCCTTATGCTGTTCTCAAGCAGACCCTAAATATGGTTTCATCCATGAATTTTTTAGTGTATATTTCTAAGATACAAGGACTCAAACTTGAAAAAGCAGTAATTCTTTAATATCAAATAGTAACTTAGTATTCAAATTTCTAGTTGTATCATAAATTTTATAATGTCTGTTTTTGAAGGTAGATTCAGATACAGTCTGTATTTTGTGAATGGTGTATCTTTTAAATTTAGATTCTCTGTTTTTTGTTTCTTGTAGTTGTTGGGGGCCATTGGGTTGTTTCTGCAGTATTCAAAGTTTTGCCAATTGTATCTCTGCAATGTGATTTAATGTGTTTCTCTGTATTTCCTGAAAATTAACAGTTGGATCTCCCGGGAGTCTTGGTCAGTTTAGGGTGTACCTTTGTCAGGTGGATGACGCTGTCCTGTTGAGAGGTACACTGTGAGGCTGCACTCATCCCTGGTTAACAGATTAGCGCAGTCACTTGCCCCAGTTCACCCAGATAGTGCCTGAGCCACTGGGAATCTGATTCTACCATCTTGATCTGAACCACTGCTCTGCACCCCTATCCATTTATTCTCATGCTTAGACTTGCTTATAAGCAAGACTGACTTGGCACCCCCTATGTAGGGGTTTAAAATAAGAAGTCATTTTCTGCCATTAAGCTGGAGGAAAGGTGGAAAAAGGCTTACACTGTAAAATAAGAGGAGTACAAATTGGGATGACCAACAAAGGGCACAAGCCTAGCACAGAGAGAAGCTTACAAGAAGATGCGGACAAAGCTTTTGAGAGACAGTGAAGTTTGGCTAGGACAGCAGAGCAGGTAGAAGTAATTTCAGAGAGAGGGCAGGGTTCCCACAGGTGTACACAACACAGATGTGTCCCTTCAGCCCAGTGGTTTGGCACTGCCCAAGAGTGGATCAGGGGCTCTACTCCAAATTGGACTCGTACTCTGAAAGTCACTGCAAAAGAGATTCAAGCAGGAGAATGGTGTGATCACTTTGTATTTTCAGTGAGTCTCTCAATGCTTTGTTCTGTAAGAATTGTAGATCCATAAGTAGCTGCAAAATCCCATGTATCTTTCACACAGTTTTTTCTCAGAGACTATATGTACATAACCACAATGTGGTATTAAATGAGGAAACTGGCATTGGTGTGTTGTGTATATAATTCATGTCATTTTATAACACGTGGAGTTTACGTATTGCCCCCACCACTATGTTCAAGACACAAAACTATTTTGTCAACCCAAAGATCTCCTCGCACTACCCTTTTATAGCCATATGAACTACCTTGCCCCCATTGTCTGTAACCCCCGACAACCACCAATATATTCTACATCTCTAATTTTGACATCTCAAGAATCCATGAGATTATACAATGTATAACCTTTTGAGATTGGCTTTGTTTACTATTATGGCTTATATCTGGCTGTCTCCTGAAAGCCTCATGCAATCATAGGTGGGGCTTTTTGGAGGTGGCTGGGTCTAGGCTGTGTGATGCTGGGATTGAAGATGTGAGTGCTGTCCACCCTAAAAGCAGGTAGTCTGGATAAAACACAGGGGACAGAGAGAGCGTCACTGCTTGTCACTCACTTGCTGCCTGCTGCCTGCTGCCTTCTGCCTGCTGTCTGCCTGCCTGCTTTGTGATGCCCCCCTGCCATGCCACCCTGCTTTGGAGCAAGCCAACTATGAACTGAAATCTTTACAGATTGAGCCAAATAAACCTTTTCTTCTTTAACTGGGCGTTTGGTATTTTGTCTCAGCAATAAGAAAAGTAACTAAGACCTTTAGTTCACTTGTCCCTCAGTGGGGTTCAGACCCAATATGGGTGTCAAACTCCATGGCATAATATTTGCATGTAGTCTATGTATATCCTCCCCTATACTGTTAAGTCACTTCTAGGTTATTTATAATGCCTAATACAAAGTAAATACTTACTTAGTTTAGGAAATGGAGAAAAAATTGTATTTGTACTGAACTTGTATGGTACATTTTCCCAAAATGTTTGTTTTTAATTTAAATTTATTTTAACTGATGCCTAATGCATAAAAATTACATATTAATGAGGTACTTATAATTATGTTTTGATACCTGTGTACCATGTTATATGATATTTAAATCCGATCAGCCATATTCATCTCAAAATTTTTCTTTCTTTCTTTCCTTCTTTCTTTTTTGTACTGTGGATTAAAACCAGGGCCTTTGCACTGGGCTACATCCCTAGCCTTTTTGTCATTTTTTATTTTGAGGTGAGGTCTTGCTAAGTCATTCAGGTTGGGCTTGAACTTGGATTCGTGTATATTCAGCTTGCTGATTGGTTGGGTTAACAGGCACATATTAGTTTTTTTATCATGAAACTTTTAAAAAACTTTCTAGTTTTTTGAAATGCATAGTACTTTGATGTCATCTCTTAAGTTGTTCCTCTGTAACTGTATCTTGGTATCCATGGGTCTACCTCAATATTTTTTATCTACAGTTGATCGAATTTGCAGATGCAGAGTCTATGAGTATGCAGAGCCAACTATACAGTGCTTTGAGATCTCCCAAGCTGTTGTGTGTTTCAGTAACTGGTTCTTTATAGTGCTGAGCCGTATCCTAGATACTGTCCATGGTATGGATATAGAGGCATTTAACCATACACACACTGAAGGACACTGTTTTCAGTTTTGATCTCTTACAAGAGGTCAAAGTAAAACTGCTCCAAGCATTTGTGTACAAGTTCTCCTTTGGACCCATCTCTCAAGTTTGGGGTAGTTTGGAAGTAGCAGGCGTGGGCTGTGGCCAGGACCAGGGAACATGTGAAGGCCTTATCTACAGCTGGAAGTGGGGCTGGAGGCCCTACGACAGACAGGCCAGGGTGCGTAGAAGCTGGATCCTCAGCATCATGCAGTAAGTGTGGTGGTAAGTAAATGCTTGTTGATGTTGTGTGTCTTGGTGTATACTCCGAAGGGTGGCCCTGTGAGGTTCTTGAAAATAAGTTTGGCTTGGAGATGTAGCTCAGTCATAGCACCCTGAGGTTGATTCGCAACACTGCAAAAACCCCACTGGCTCCTTGACATATCGATTTGTAAATAAAATCAGAGTAATTAGAGTGATGTGTTGGAAGGAGATAACTATCGTGGCCAAGCACACCTCAATCAAGCTGGGGCCATCCTGCGAATTTAGGGAACTCCCTTACTGTGGCCAAGTCCCAGCTTCTTCCTTCGCACAGTGGGGATAGTAGCAAGCCCCTCACAAGTCATCCTCCAACATTTGTAAATGTGGCCCTTGTGCCTGGCCCACTCTCCTCCTCTGCCTCCTCTGCCTTAAGCCTGTCCTCCATGGAGGTGTTAGAAGGATCATCGTGCAACTTTTTACTTGAAATTTTTTGTTTAGCTACTTTTTTTTTTTGTTTTTTATTTGTTTTATATTTTGGTACTAGGAATTGAACTCCTGACCTGACAGGCAGATGCTGTGCCAATGAGTTACATTTCTAACCCTTAACCAGTTTTTTTAAATGTGAAATAGGCACATGATTTTTTAAAAAAAAATTTTTGCATACTTGTATATTTTTAAATAGAATGGAGCCTACTATATGTACTATTTCAACGTGTCTTATTTCCTTTATGTATCTTTCCACTGCAATATATAAAGTCCCTGCATTGCATTTAATGGCTTTATTTTTGCACCATCATTTATTCATTTGATCCGCAGTGTGCCTTTAAAGTTATTTGTAGGGTCTTTATCTGCCTGTGAGAGGTGCTGCGACACCGTTACACACATACCTTTGAATAATTGTACACATAAATCAGGCAGATGCATTTACTGAGTTGTAATTGCCAGTTTAGAATTCACATGCATTTAAGAGCTTTCATTAGCTACCCTTATTTTCTTTCCACACAAAAGTTGCAAAGCTCTTAGCCCCATGTGTGAGGGTATCCATACCCTGGAGCCTGGGTGGATCCTGTCCGCAAGGGGCTGGCCTCCTCCACCAGGCCTTCCTTCCCGTCTGTCTTTTTGCACATCTTCACTCACCTTTACCCTCCTGCTTTTTTGATAGGGTAGGAATAAGGTTGCTGAGTCCTGAAGGCAGGTCCTCGTGCATGCCAGGCGCACACTGCAGCACTGGCCACAGACCTTTCCCTGTCTTGAAGGACTCATGCAGACCGCCTCTTCGCTGTGTGGTGGGTAGTATGGCCCAGCAGCTATTGGAAGCCGAGGCTTAGGGGCCAGCGCCCTCTGGTGAGGGAGTGGAAGCAGCACATGTGAGTCTCCAGCGTGGCTAATGTGGCTGTAGGGAGAGAGTTCCTGCACTTCCCAATTTGTAGACCTGATTTTGTGAGGCCAGTGATGCTCTGTTTTGTTGAAATATAATCTCAACAGACTAGATTCATTAACAGCTAAATTGGATTCTTTTTCTGGTTACCTTGAAGTTCTTTAGCCTGATACAGCCCAAATGTGACTTTGGTAGATGCTATCGTAGATTTTTTTTTTCCAGCCTAATAAGAGTACTTTATTTTAATTTTAGAATCGTTTTAAACCTTAAGATTATATTACTATCCAGGCATGGTGGTGCATGCGTGTAATCCCAGCACTCTAGAGACAAGTTTGAGGCCAGCCTGAGCTACAAAGTGAGTTCAAGGTCAGTTTGAATTGCACAGTGAAACTCTGTCTCAAGACAAAAAAAATTATATTAATAATTCTAGGACCAAATATGATTGGATATACTCCTAAAATTCAGTGAAGCTAACCTACTGTTTTACTATTTAGGGTAGAGGTTACCAGCAGCGATAGCAGAGTCCGAGTTGCTCAGCAAGGTTAAAACTGAATTGCTTCAGTCCCAGCATGGGCAGGTGGTCTTGAATGGGGGCATCTCTGTGCCCCAGGGCAGGCAGCTGTACCATCTCCAGTACGTGACAAGGACAGCTGATGCCTCATGCAGCAGGCAGCAAGGGAGGATACATTGGAGAGCAAGCAGCTTCAATAAAAAACAAGAAATATGATCCGGAATTTGCTCACATCCTTCTACTCATATCTGGTTGGCCACAAATTGATCATCTGGCCATGGCTGGCCACTGGGAAAGCTGCCAGTCTCTGTTGGGCAGCCATTTGTCCAGCATGAACGGGATGGTACCTGCTACTAAAACCGGGAGCGGGAGCGGATCCTGGAGTGGATCAACAGCCTTCCCTACAGTCCTCCTGCTGCCTCTTAGCTTTTCACACTCACTGTCCAATGAACTCCCTGACTCTGTAGCTTAATCTTCTGCTTCTGTCTAGCCTCTTTGGCCTCATATCCAGGTCAGTAAATCCGCAGAGCCTTTCTTAAAGCCATGTATTTCCTTCTTGTCCTGACATGCCGCAATCTTGTTATTTTCATCTAGTTTCTCTTCAGCCCTTCCCACTCTAATATCTGTGGAAAGTATGTGCCTCTGGTGCTTTGGTGGCGCCCGCATCCATCAGCACCAGCCTGAATGACTTAGCTTTACTGCCACAGCCTGTGACCATCTGGCCTCACTTTCTTTCTCCATCTTTATTTCCCCACTACCTAGCAAACAGATCTCAAGTGACTTGAATGTACCTCTGCCTCCCTGTTGCTTCTCTCCATACCCCAAAGTCAGCCTTTGCGCTGGGTTTAGGGACCACCTTTTGTTGGGTCTCAGGATGGGTCCCTGAGGATGTCCTCAGGGAACACTGGGTGTCACCTCACAGGGAGCAGGTGCTGTGTTCTGGCATACAACCCATCTGCAGTGGGTGAATACTTTGTAAACAGCAAGCTGGCTGTTTACAAAGAGATGAGTGCCCCCAGTAGAGGCTTTAGTGGGTAGTGGTCCTTGTGTGGTGTCTTTTGCCCTTGTCCTTTGCTAGCAAGCTGAGCAGTTTACTTTGCGTAGATTCAGTCAGCTTACGCTCTGTCTCTCCTGTCAGTCCCCGGCAGTCTTATGCAGATGCTGCCTCCTCCAGGAAGCTTGCCTTGTCTTCTGCACCTTTGTCAATGTGTTGGGTTTCTTCTCTTATGTCTTCGTTTATGTTTTTCTTATGGCTTGTATACGGTAAGGCTGATGGACCAGGTTAACATTCTACCCCTAAATAGTGAATCATAGGCTATTGCAAGACTAGTTTCTAGCTGTGCTTTTAAAATGCTTATCACCTTACACAAAGCATCCCCCATGTTAAGTTGTTTTAGCCTCTTACAAACTATAAATAAGCTAATCTTTAGAAAAGGATACTCATTCAGATAGCAGTAAAAATGAGACAGTGTTATGGGGAATCATGAAATGATATAATGTGGGCCAGATTGGTGAAGGATTTTCAGATTCTTGCAGTGTCCCTCCTTGTCTTGTCCTTGAGTGTTCAATGCCATGGTGACCAAGACATCCCTGTTCCCTCACCCAAGCTCGAGTACAGTGTCCTGCTGGTGCAGGCTACATCTCAATGCCCCTCACAGCAGTGCAGCCTGGACATGTGTCTAGCTCACAAAGCCCAGGGCTGCTCCAGGGCAAACTGAAGCTGAGGACTCTGCCGAGGTTAGGGAGGACAGCTGTGTTTGTCTGGCACCTGCTGGGCAGAGTACTGATGGTTCTCTCCAGGCCCAGCTGGTCAGACTCAAAAATGGTGAGAAAAATATGGGGCAGTGGTTATTTGGAGAAACTATTAATCTGACTTTAAGTCTTTGTTTAGCTGTTAATTTACTTGCATAGGTAAGGAAAATCCAGACACCATTTTGATGAACTGTAAATCACCACTGCAGAAAGCTCATTGAGGAGATGTTAGGGACTAGTAGAGCAAAACAGCAAGTATTTGAGGGAGCTATAGAAAAAATATTTTAATTCTGTGTTTTATACAATATGAGATGTTTGTCTACTTGATTTTATTGTTGACTTTTTATTTAAAAAAAGACCAAAATAAATAGTTTGCTAACTTTTCCATGAATGTTCTCAGATAAGGGGAAACCAAGTAAATGTTTGCTTGTTTCAATATAAAATCATCCAGGGTTCTGCAGAGTGGGAATCTCAGCTTGCTACCTAAAGCACAGAAAAATTACTTTCTGTGGCACCATTGGATACTTGTGCATACATAAATAAACTCTGTAGTGTAGTTATTCTGTACTGTGGGGATGCAGCAGAGTTTGTGGGATATAAGGGGCACAATCCATCTCCACACCTATTCTCAGGCATCTGTGGTGTACAAAGCACACACTGATGTCCCAGTTCTCACGGCCTGTAACTGGCATATGAATGCTGCTTTTTGAGGTAGGACTGTCACCTGAATCTGTGCACTTAGCCAGAAACTGGTCTGTTTGCTTTTCTTTAGAATTCTGAAGGTAATCACTCTGAAATATGCCCCCAGCACTGGTTGAGATTGCTAGACTTAAGCTGGTCCCAGAGGAGAGAAACTGCTGAGAAATGTTCAGTGGCATGGCTAGCAATGATGTGTAAATTCTTTTCTCTGAAAATGGTTTTCTTCTAACCTAACCCCTTAATGTGATCTTGCTAGGCCTCAAAATCCATTTCATAATGGTCCTGTACTACTGAAATGTCTTTGCATTTTCATGTCTTGCTTAAGTTCAGAACTTGGTCAAACCAAGTTTTGAACTTAGAGCCACGTTGTCTGATAGTACAATAAATTTGTGAGCTGTGCATGGATATTTCTGTAAGCATGCATGTTCATTCTGTTTCTCTTTTAAGGACTCTTGTCAACGGAAGCTCTTTGGAATACTGTATGATACTACATCATGAGTGACAATAAATGTGATAGTCAGTTTTATAGTGTGCAAGTGGCAGACTCAACTTTCACTGTCCTAAAACGTTACCAGCAGTTGAAACCAATAGGCTCTGGGGCCCAAGGAATTGTTTGGTAAGTATGATTTGTTTTAATACTGTGAGTTGTTTTTGCTGTAGTAAAAAGTAAAACTAAATTGTCAGAATTTAGAAACACTAATGATAACAATAGTGTTTATAGTCTGATTTTAGTGTACAAACCCAATTCTCAGAAAGCTACATAAATTTAAATATGTTAGCAATTTTTCTCTTGATTTCTTTTCTCCTTTTTTTTTTTTGCACTGCTCTTATCATGATGATATCAGCGTAGTAGGGATAACAGTGAGGTGTAACGGAAATTTTGAGTTTTATTCATTTCTTCATCGTGGCCACCTTTCCCCCTCTCCTTTATCCCCAATCACTCCTGTTCATTTCTAGGCGCCATCATTGCAGTGCCTTGTCATTCATTGGCAGGACGGGGCCAGTCAGTATCATGGTGACACCATGGATTAACCAGGAAGGGATGCTGTGTGAGGGGTTGGGCTGGCTGCCTTCCTTGGTGTCTGTCTTCAACTGTGTGTCCAGCCCAGGACTACAGAACCGTTAGTCTGACCCTGAACCTTAGTCTCTTGCATGGTAAGACAGTCAGCTGCTGCGACATCACTGGCCAGCTAAAGGTAAAGTTCTTCACATGTTTTCTAGACTACATTATCAGCCCTTCCCAAACTTTAGTCCCTTAGTTTTCTGGGCAGAACTTTTTTTCTTTCTATTTTTGCTCAGTAAAACCAAGATTATCTTTGCCTCCAAAAAACCTATTGAAGCTAATCATCTAATGTTTACAGCTATAGGCAGAAGGGATTGAAGATAAAGAACTCCTTTGAGTGTCCTGGTAGAGGAGTTCATGTTTTCATATAGTGGAGAGGGCAGTTTTTGAACTGATCTAGTATTGCAGAGATGTGTGATTGAACATCTTGTTATTCCCTTGGGGCCAGGTAGTTGGTGGCCCTAGACACTAAGAAGATTGAGTCCAAAGTGTCTGAGTGAGATACCCAGGGAGAAGAGACTGTTCAGAAGGAGTTCCTGGCCCTTGCCTGAAATAATGGAGATCTTAACTTCCAAATGATAGTATGTTGGTACAGGCTGAGTATCTCTTGTCTGAAATGCTTGGACACATCTGCTTATTTCTACTATCTGGTTTATTTGTTTGTTTTTCAAATTTTAGACTATTTGCATAGACTTTGTTACTAGTTGAGCATTCCAAAGCTGTGATATCTGAAATACTCCAAAATCTAAAGCTGTTTGAACATGATATCAGTACTCAAAAAGCTTTAGATTTAGGAGCACTTTAGATTTTGAATTTTTAGATTAGAGATGCTCAAGTTATACTTAAATATGTTGTGCCAAGAGAAGTTTTCAACTCAGTGGATGGTTCAAGCTTTAATGTTAATTAGCAGTTATGAACAATGGAGCATTCTTTTGACAATATACAGTATTTGCGTTACTACTTTCAAAGACAAGTGAATGGCAAAGCAAGTGGGATAAAGGAAACCCGTATTTTAAGTAGCTGCCTATCCTAGCCATAAAGTGAATTCCCTCCAAACCTCCCTTCCTGTCTTCCTTCATTCTCTCTACCTCCTCCTCAAATTATCTGTGTCAAATTACCATCCACTGCCAAATAAAAGATGGATTATAAATCGAAAGAATGTTCCATTGTTCATAACCAGGTTTAAGACACAAAGTAGGATTGGAGAAACAATGTGGTGATGACATGTTACTCTTTTAAAACAAAAATAAAGTAGCTTTTGCTAAAATAAATACAACAGTTGGCTACTATCTTGACAACAAGATTTGGATTTTCTATCATATTGTTTATTAAAATATTATCATTTTAGCACTGTTTGATTATTTAAAACTTCCTTTTATCGTTAATGTACATTATAGTCGTCTGTTAGTGAATCAATGACTGTTGGAGATGTGTTAATGCTGAGTGATGGCCCCTTCCCCCAGCAGTGTCCAAGGCCTAGCCCTGGACCTGTGCACTTGCTCCTTTACACAGCAGAAGGAGCTCTGTGAGTTAGACGAGCCATCCGGAGGTCAGGATTAGCCAGGATTAGCTGACGGGTCCAGTGTCACTGCAAGTATGCTTTAAAAGGAGGATAGGAGGGTTGTGGTCAGAGAAGGAAATGTGGTAACAAGAGAAGCTTGGAGGGATGTGGGGCCAGGAGCCAAGGAATAGATGAAGCTGCTCGCAGCTAGAAAAGGCAAGAGTGTCAGTTCTCCTGTAGAACCTCCCACGGGGACATAATCCTTAATTTTAGTCCTGTGAGATACACTTTGGACTCCTGACCTCTAGAACTACAGGAAAATAAGTGTGTTATTTACAACCAATAATTTGTGGTAACTTACTATAGTAACATTAGGAGTCTAATTCAAGAGCATGATTTATTATTATTTTTGTATTTTTGAGAAATATACTAGCAGTAGTGTGTGGTTTATAAATTGTTTAGTTTTATGTTAAACTAGAATATTGTGAAGATACAGGGAGAGGGGCTCAAAAACCAAAATGCATGTTAGGCCAGGGACCTGGACAAAATTAAGAACTGGAACCAGAATAACACATTCTTACCGCCAATGTTTTTTTTAAGTGCTGGGTATTGAGCATAGGACCCACACGTGTGCTAGGTAAGGGCTCTCCCAGTAGCTGCAAGCCCAAACCCTGACTCCCGGTTTTGAATTGCCTTTACAGTTGTCGTTGACTTATTTCTAGTTTTTTCACTAGACATTAATAAAATTTATTAGGAAATAAGTTTTTAATTGTCATTTTAAAATATTCATAAAAATCAACTAAGTTATGTAGTAATATTAATTGCAAGATTTAGTAGGAAAATATGTATATGCTTTATCCTTCTAAAATCTCAAGTTGTTCAACCAAAATAGGAAAGATTTTATAACACAATTCTATGAAATATCTGACTTTTTTTAAAAAAGTGTTTAATATTAGGTCTGGCAAAACTTAGAAATAATGATTACTACCTTAACATGAAATAATTGGTATAGCTTTTACTGCTTTTTTCCACTAGTTTTCCATAAGCATGAACACTGGTCTATTTCTAAATTGTTTTATTGTCACTGTATTAATATAAATAAAGTTCACAACAAAAGTTCCATGATAAGGATGGTGTGGGATAAAAGGCACAGAGTGGCTGTGTCTTGAGCATCTGAGTTCTAAGTCTAGCTCTGACCCGTACAGCCACCAGTGCTATGACTTTATCCCCACTGTGTTTTCATGGGTCTTCATATTTTCACCTCTAAACAGTAATTTAGAACTTCTGATTTAAGATGATAAATCAAGCATCTAGCTTGATAAAAGAGTAGAAGTAAAAATAAGTAGGTGAGTTATTTGCAGTAAGAGAGAGACCAGTCAGATGCCCACCTGGCCATGTCCTTTGCAGGGACTTCAGCACTGCTTTGCTACAGAGGGTGTGAGGCCTCGGTTATGCCATATGTTGATCACCACAGAACCGCAAAGGAGGACCCAGTGCTTCCCAGGCTTGGTGCACAGATGGAGCAGCCTGTAGCATACACACTGTCCGGTTCACTTGCATATTCATTCAGCAGGCACTCAGAAGTTAAACATTCCAACCCCCTTCTCTGGAGGGTGGTCCTGACTAATGAGAGGTGATCAGACTCTCCTGCTTGAGCTGAGCAGGACTGACAGACTAACTAGGGCCCCTCCAGGGGTCTTGCGTGAATCAAGCAGGCAAGCAGACAGACAGACTGCTTCTCCTCTCTTTGGGGTCCAATGTGAGCTGCTTGAGCAAGGAGCCAGGAATCTTCCTCCAGACCTTAGGGGACTCGAGAAATGTCAAGGGCCCACCTTCCCCTTGGGACCTGGAGAGGTCCTTGCTCTGTATGTAAGAGCCACAACCAGTGACCAAAGAGGTCAGCACAGTTGGTCTTGCATCAGTAACCGGCTGTTCTAGGACACTGTAGTAACAGGAACTGTAACAGGAACTATTGCCTGGGCAACTAACTGACTCACCAGGGAGCATTTTGTGCTACAATAAAACGCAAAGAGGTTCTTAGTAGAACTACAAAGAGGCTGTGAAGTATAAATGACAGGTACAGAGAATGAAGATGACATGGGCAGCTAAAACTAGGCATGTTAATTTAAAATGTGTCTGAAATAACTCTGACAATTTCCCCATGCTCAGCATTTGTTCTAGAGAGCTGGTAAGAGGGTGAAGAATCGCTATGTTAGGATCCAGGGAAGGACAGAAGGCTAGTGTAGGGAGCCCAGCTTTTAGAGCTGTCTGCCTTGAGATTTATTTAGATTCTGGAAGGAACAGCTGAGAGACTGAGGAGTGCTTTGGACTTTCTATGGTTCGGAAGTAGGGTGGGATCCAGGGCTCCTTAACAGGGTCTGGCAAACTTGTTTGCTTTGTATCAGGACCATTAAAGGGCCATATCCTAGAAGTGCGTAAAGGGTAGAGAGACAAGTCCGTGAAGGCACTGCCACTTAGCTTTAGACCACCATCGCATCTGCTGAATTTCTGCAGAGATGAACCTAGATTGTTAGGGCCCCTGTGCCCATCAGAAGTAAATGTCAATTCTTTCCGGAAGATGACAGTATCATACTAAATATCTAGTTATTTCTAGATAGCAACTTTACAGGATCCAACACATGTAAAATAACTAGACACACAAAGAGATAAGATAAAATCCAACAGAAATAAAGCAAAAGAAGTACATCTGTAGGAGATATTGATGTTATGATGTCCTCATTTTTAAAAAGCTGTGATACAGTTTTCAGAGTGGTAAAAGGAAAGATGAAAACTGTTGGTGGGTAAATGAGAACTTTAAAAAAACTAAATGGAAATTCTAGAACTAAGAACTATAGTGATTGAATTCTTAACTCAGTTTGTCAGCACATTAGATATAACTGAAGAGAGAATTAGTGACCTGGGAAAATATGCCAGCCCAAAATATCCAGAATGAAACCCAGAGAGACAAAAGAATAGAAAAACGTACAAGAAGCAGGGTGTATTAGTTTTCTATAACTGCATAACAAAGGAACACAAGGTTAGTGGCTTTCAT